GCCTGCAGTCTAGGACTGTCAAAGGATGCAATAATGATTAACTAGTCAGTTCTTCAGGGATACACCCACACTCGGCTGAATAATTTTGCATAAAAATGTGTGACTGCATTTGGATGTGTGAGGAAATGAAGCAGTCAAATGTTATTTACAGACCTCCAAAGCCTCATCTCAAAGACATGGAGCACATCTGCTTGTGTAGGGATTCAAGGTACAGTTGCCAATATTTATTGACTTTTTATAAAGAAATTGGCTAAATAAACAAGGCATCTGGGGAGTACAGATGCCAGAAGGGTTTTGCCTAAGCTTGGGATTTTGAAATGGCTGTATCATGTATTTTACAAATGCAAAGGGATAATTCTTACAAATTCTTCAGAAGTCAGCAGAAAAAGGAAAACCCTAACATTTCCAGGGTTGTTGGTTTTCTCCCAAGTCAAGCTTTAGCTGATTATCTGTTACACTGAAGCAAAGTAGGAGGGATTTTCATTCACATTTAACAGATGGCCAGAGTGATGTTGGAAATGCAGTTTTGGGGTAAACTAAACTATGCCAGGGGATCATTTTCATTGTTGAGACTGAGCTCCAGACACTCATGCTCTTCAAACAGTGCTTAGGTTCACAAATATATCCTGCTCTTGTCAAAAATAAAACTTAACTGGCTGTAAGGGAATTTCTATACACTCCAGCGGAGCTGCTATCTGTTAGTATTGAGTTGATCTCGAAATCCTTTCAGTGTCAATGGATCTCTAATAGAAAATTGTGTCTGATGAAGTGGACTCTGGTGCATGAAACCTTAAAAATAGAAGTGGGTGATGTAACACTGTTGTTTGGGGAAAGAAGAGTTTCAGGGCCCCTCAGATGAACTTGTTGGAAGGTAAGGTGATGATTCCATACAATTTGTGGGTCATCTCACCTTTCAACTGTGTTTTAAGGTAGTGGATTTGATTTGGTAAAACTTAAGGTTGGTTTGGAAAGCACAGAATCTCTTTGATGCTGTAATCAACTCCACAATCTCAAAATGTGGTGGTGACCATAGGATGGATTACAGCATCCATGTGCTTTCCAAACCAGCCTTTTGTTCATGTGGAGGTTTTAGAGAGCTTCTTCAACCTGTGGACTCTATTCTCAGGCCAAAGGAAGTGGGTGTTGTTGTTAACTGGACATTCTTGGTTTCTTCCAGAATGCTATCAGACAGACTCTTGTGGATCTTCATTATTTAATCACAACCCCTGCCCCTTATGTACAATTTTCCTCATGCCTGCATACACTCTGCTGTTGACCCTCCTGCTAAGAATTGGCCAGATTCAATACAGCACTTGGCTTCTGTGTCTTCACTACTTGTGTAGAAGGGAAACTGTATAGAACACTTACGGTATATTCTCTTTCCCACATTTAAAACACCAACACATCATCCACAGCTCGTATTAAGTTTGCTGGATCGTTCACCCTGTCTCAGAATAACAAGATGGAGTCCTGAATATTTCATGTATAAAAGCTGACTGGCCTGGCAGCTGGATGATGTGATGTGATGGCATCCTCAATTTCTCCTCCTGAAGGGAGAAGACTAGTTAGGGGACAACGGCCAGCGGCACATGGAATACACAGCTCTATCCTCCAGCAGAGAAAAGTGACTAGAAATGGCTCAGGAGGAACAGCTGGGTAGCTGCCACCACTCCCCAGCATCTGCCACCTAAGGCCATTGCCTCACCTAGCCTAATGGTAGGGCCAGCTTTATTAGCATACCATGGCCTTTACGTTGCTTACATATCTGCCCGCCTCATCCTCTATGCCAGGTATCTGCAACCTTTTCAGACCCAGGAACCATTTTCAAACTAAACATGCATTTTGGGACCATTTCTTAATCTTTCACCATACATTTGCATAGTGGTAGTGCACCTGCTTTGACTCACCTAGGATCAGGCCACGACCCACTAGTGTGTCACAACCCACCAGCTGAACACATGGTGTGAGGGGTATAGTTTGGCCCAGATACCATTCTGAGAGACTAAATGCTGTGGCTCTTTTCATTCTGTACTTTGAGTGTAGATAGTGCATAATACAGCTGAGAATGGCTGTGTACTGTGACAGTTCCCAGCAAAGAATATGGAGATGGGAAGCCCCCCTTCCATGCAGCTTTCAGAGAAAAATGGTGATGTAAAATGTGTACATTCTCAGCATAGGAGCCAATGTCAGGGGACTATGGTCCCTTTGCCCCCCATAAAATACTTGAGGGGGCCACCCCCCCAAGTTGAGGAGCATTGCCATTCAAATGGGGTGTGTGCTATTTCATGTGATCAGTTATGTGGGGTGGGTTTTCCTTGCCCCCCCAAATGTTTTATTCAAGTTGGCCCCCCTGGTTTTCAGTCAACACATGTGAAAAAGAGGGCTGGGTCAGAACAACCAACTCAGCTGAGTTTCTCCGTTTTCAAAGGTGCTGGCCTACCGCTACTGCTTCAAATGGCATACACCTTTGTGTTGTAAAAGAAAGAAAAGACGGAATCCACTGCCAGTCACAACACCAGCTGTAGCCATTACTGCCTCCCCACATTCAAAAGTCAATTGATATTAATCCCCACTGTCACAAGTCCTCACATTCTCCCCTACTCACCTTTGTGGTGGAAGGAGGTTCAGACCGGCACTCCCAGCTGAATCATTATCATTTGCTTCAGAAAAGTAATGTGTTGTCTATAAAAATAATTCACCTATATTTGTTTGAAATATGTGTACCACCGCATGTTCAAGTATATGAAAATGGACTGGATAGCTATCTTTAAAGAGAGAAAGTGAGATTACCAGTGTCTTTGCTTAATACTTAGCTCTAATGCTGGCCTCAGTGCAATTTGTAGGACCATTGAAATCACTAGGTAAACATATTTAGATGACCCTTTCTGTAATTATAGTGACCTAAACCGTGCACCAAAGCATTCATCCTATTGTTATATGGAGGAAAGACGCTCTAGGTTACACTTTGCAGGAAGAAACAGAGTTGTCATTTTATTGTCACGTCAGAGGTGCTGTTACAATCCCCAGTCAGAAATGCATAGGACATAAGGCATGGGTAGGCAAAGTAAGGCCTGGGGACCAGATCCGGCCCAATCGCCTTCTAAATCTGGCCTGAAGATGGTGTTTTTACATGAGTAGAATGTGTCCTTTTATTTAAAATGCATCTCTGGGTTATTTGTGGGGCATAGGAATTTGTTCATTTCCCCCCAAAAAATATAGTCTGGCCCCCAAAAAGGTCTGAGGGACAGTGGACCGGCCCCCTGCTGAAAAAGGTTGCTGACTCTTGACATAAGGCAACACAGTGGCTTGTGTCAGTGCAGCCACACCAGCATCTTGTGATTGACGGACGCCGAGAATGCATGGCACCATCCCTTCTCTGCTGCCTTTCATTACGTGATCCCACCCAAAAAGGAAAGGTTACTGCTAAATATCAAGCATATAAGGTTGTGCTGATATAATTTTTTTTTATTGGCTCACCTTTGATATCTGCCAAGTAATCTGTGAGTCTGCATTTAAATGCAGGAGAAATTCAGTAAATGGCAAGCATTATAGGACAGCTTTCTATTAACTTGATATGCCCCACTTTTCACATTGAATGGCTTCTGACTGCTGTTATGGCAATATAACTGTCAAAGTCAATAATTCTAGAAATAAACCATCTCCATAGCTCTATTTTCAAACTAGAAGTTCCCATTTCTCTATATTGATCTGTTGTACATGCAGAATATTGGAATAATTTTACTGTATTATATTGAATGTAGCAGTATCTTGTCTAAATATTGTGACATTGTGACAGTTGTGACATTGCAATCCAGTTGTTGCAAGCCACCTTGACTGGTGTGTCTGTCAAATAAATAAATATTTTTTTCCTTGCATCTATTTGTAATTATGAAGTAGTATTCAGGATATCAATCTGATTTAGATAAATATTTATGCCTTTGGAAAGAGATCCAGACATTGTTGGAACATACATTTTAAAATGTTAAAGCAGTCACATTTTTAAGTATCACAACATCATTGCATTTCTGTAATTATTTAGACTGGAAGTTGTGTGATTGACTTCTTTTTGGGAGCAGAGAACAATGGTTTGTCATTAGGTGGAATAGGTGGTGATCATTTGGCTGGAGGCACATTGCTGCCAAACTGGTGGATGTTCTAAGGCGAAGAACTCCAAAAGCAGTAGGAGGGCTATGGATCAGCTGTAGAGCACATGTTCTATATACACAAGGTCCTAGGCTCAGCCCCTGGCATCTCCGGGTAGAGCTGGAAGAGTCCCGTCTGAAACCTTGGAGAGCCACTGACCATTTAAACAGTACTGAATCAGATGGTCCAACTTGGTGTAATGCAGCTCCTACATCTGTTTGGGTGTATCTATTATACCACCGAACGTATACCAGTTAACAGCAAAGACCTTCCCCAAAGAATCTTGCAAATTTTAGTTTAGTGAAGGTACTGAGAGTTCTTGAGCATCTCTGTGTCACCCCAAACTATGTTTTCCAGGAAGAGGGTATAACTGCTCCAACCGGTTTAAGTCCACAGTGCTGATAACCTTGAAGTGTTATGGCCTTGGATATATAGAGCTTATGTAACAAGTATATGAGGCGAAAAGCTTATCTAGGCTTTCAGATGTCAACAGGGTATTGAAAGGAAATCTCTAGTGGTTAGTGTGTTGTCACAGTGCAGATTGAGATGGGAAAAGATGAAGCGGAACCCAGATTGATTCCAGTTGTCCTGCACTATGTTCCACCAGCATACTGAAACTATTGGTGTGCCCTCTGGAGAGCAACTGTGTTGATATTATGTTGTTTCTTAGGAACACGTTGATTCTTGGATTCTCTGAGAATAAATTAAATACTTTTGGTGTATCCATCTTCTTCTCTAGACAGTGACATATCCCTCAGATCTACACAGAGCCCCCTCTCTCTACATTCCCTTCCACACCACCCACTCACTATGGCATTCTGCACATTCACCTCATTAAGGGAAAATATTGTCCATTGTCACATATGGCTGGCATCTGGATACACCAAACGAGGTAAGGTGAACTGAGAGTTTATGCTCTCATTCCTCAGCAAAAATAAGTTGATAACATAAGGTGCTGTGTTTATGTCTCCAAGCTTTAAGTGAAGAGGAAAATAGGCATCTGGGCTGTTTTTAATTTGTAGCACTGGGCTTGCTGGATTAATATAACAAGACAGATCAAGGCTGACAAGTTAAAGCAACTTCATCCTAACGTTTTATTTGAACATCAAGGGAAATGGTGAGTTGCAGAAGAATTGAGATTGGAGATAAACATACAGATGAAGTCACGCAACAAGCATACTTGTTTCAATACCCGCCGATGGACTTTTAAATAGTGGGAATTTCTGTACATGCATCTAGATTTATTTATTTTTTAATTTCCTGACAGACCAGGAAGTGGTGATGGTGGGAACTGTGAGGTAGAGACTAAGATTTGGACCCGTCCTTTTTCTTCTGGAATTTCCTGAACTGAGACTGTATCGCCACTGCAGCTTTCTCTGTCTCTGGTGCATCCATGTCTATATCAAAGTCCTCTGGAACTTTCTTTTCCCCATCTGTGCCAAAACAAAAACAAATAAAGGTCACCATAACTTGACACACATTTCAGACAGAAGAAACAGGAGGTGTAGAAGAAGAACCAGATCCGGAAGAAGAGCACGTTTTATTTAGTTAGTGAGATTTATTTTGTTTTTAAATGAGAAGTGTTCTTAGGAAAATCTCTGATTTTCATTGTATAATCTTCCTGCACAATTCAATCTAATGGCAAATTAACTGATAAGGCATTCAGGTATTCCTCCTTAGGCACATTTTCAACTTCTTTGACACCTTAATTTTTTTTTATAAAAGCACATTAACCAAAATTTATCACATCAACCAAAACCCTCTACTACTATATACTATATATTTCTGGTGTACATTCTCAGTATATGTTCCAATATCCTTAATGTGACGCTGCTTATCAGTAATACGTGCAGTATAATCCTATGCATGTTTACTTAGAAGTAGTCCCAATGAGTTCAACTGAGTTTACTCTTATGTAAAAGTGCATAGGATTGGATTACAATTGTAATCCCTGACAATAGTTACGTACTTGTGTATATGGTGATGGTAGTGGGAAGAGTTACACAATTCAGATTTACACAGCAGACTCCCAGGTATTCTTTTGGAAGGAATTCCATAAGCAAACATTTAGGGCAATAAAGCAACACTCTGGACATGTTACTGAAATTGCAGCATGTGTTTAATGGATGGATGCTGCTGTTGTGAAAAATGCCCCTTGACCAGCATGAACACAGCAGCAAAGCTCATTTTTCCTCCAAACCTGTCTAAAGTAGACATTTCAAGGAGACACATTTCATCAGCTCTGGAGTTGACAATACAACCTTTCACAGCTTGTTGAACGGTTTTTTCCCATTCTTATGTACAGTGCTAAGTAGTGCCAGTCGATTAGCTCAAAATGCTTCTAGGCTGCCATTAAGGGTAAAGGGATGCTTCTCAATGTAGTTTTCTAATAATATAAAATATAATAAAATATTTAATAAAAGCCAGCCATAAAAACAACAAACATCCAACACACACACAACTACTAAAATGCATTACACAGCTACAGCAAAGCCCATTCGCAGGAGAACAAAACAACTCCAGAGAAAGCAGGTCTTTAGAGCTTTCCTAAACACCTAAAATTCTGAATTGACAATGTTGGTTTCTATCTTTTGGGGCTGGCAGCGTGGGTGGCAGGGAGATCAACAATAGGTGGAGCCAGAGCCAATGACAGACACATTCTTTTTTTGTCCATATCCTCCTCCCTCCTGCCTTATTCAAGGGCAACGCTAAACTGGCAAACAGTGCCACCTCATGGAATGGCTGTAAGGAGAAATCAGACAGGTGGATGTTGACTGAGAGCAAACCAAGGTGGGTGGGCCAATTTACTACTCACCCTAATGGACTAGCCTCCAGTGTGTGTGTGTGTGTGTGTGTGTGTGTGAGAGAGAGAGAGAGAGAGAGAGAGAGAGAGAGAGAATTTTTAGTTAGCATCTTCACTGCCTATTGATCTACTCATTAAACCCTTGTTTCTAGCTTGTGCTGTAATCCAAACTGTAACTTTCTCCCTACTCAGCCTCCAGACCAATCTACCCATTTTACTGCCACAATTATTTCTCAGATGTTTTGCTTGCCCAAATTTGACACACAAAAACTATTCTCTAAGGGAAAATAAAAACTATCTGATTCTGCCAAACTATATCCTGACACAAATTTTTATGTTTGCTCCTAAGGTCCAAGGAAATAAAGGTTTCATCATGCAGGTGAAAAGAAACCATTTTGCATGTCTGAGAAGGCTGTACCATAAAAAATGTATCTTCTTTAGGAAACAAACCTCTTATTTATTCATGCAATAATAACAACATATTTAGAGCTGCTGAAGCAAACTAAAATGTAGATCATAGCCAAATCAGTTGGCATCATTTCATCACCCCAGCACCCTATTTCAAATGATATAACTGTGGAAGTAAATGAGCTATTCGGTCTAGCTGCAGACCAAATATATTTGCTTTATAATGTGTTTCTGTACAGCACAATCAATAAAAAGGGGATGGATGGATGGCGAGCAAACTCCTGAGATATGCAGTGTGAGTGTAATTACTCATGACCAAGCCTTCAGCTAATTTCTTGATTTACTCTTTAAGCTGGAGCTCAAATGAATGATGGCAATATTGGTAAATGAAAAGCATTCACCATTCCTCTCTAGAGTCATGAATACAAAATAATCTGTGCTTTTATGTGTGCCTGTGTTTAAGCGAGCTTTCCAAAGGTTTGTTTTAGAGAAACAAACATTGGAGGGATGAAATTACACTACTAGATCATTTGTCCTACTCAAATTTCAACTTACTATAACTGAAGGATAGAATTACAGTAACTGGTCTGGATTGGTTCAAAAACTTGTGTAAGACAATACAGTCCTTTGAGCAATAAAGATTCTTTGCCATCTATTGTCCCATACATTGTCCGACATGGCACTGACCATGTACACAAGGTGGAGCTCCTTTGGCTAGACAGATGTAAAATGCATGAGATTCACCATACATTGTGAATGATACCTTAGACCTGTGCTTCAGCCATGATATTTTTGTCTTCCTCATGTTCTTCACCAAAGTTCCAGTGCCAATTTTCATAGGCTGCTGCACATAGAATCCCTCTCCTCCATCTATAAATAAGTCTCTACAGGTGAATTTGGGATATGATCTAGCCAGTCAAGCACTTGTCTTATGTCCCACTGATTTCAATGAGAGAGACTTGAGAACTTGATCTGTTGACTAGGACCTATGCAAGAAGTGCTCAAGACTGGTGGACTTTAGGCTTTTAATTTGACTGAGCAGCTCTCCCACTGAAATCAACAGGACATTGTATCCTGTGCTTGGGTCTGAGCCTGTAATTCTTTTTAAGAGACCTTTTCAGCCTCATAGATAGATAGTCACATTTCCCAGTAGAGGAAAACACGTGTAGTATTTGCATGAGCTCTTTGGAAACATAATAGGAAAAGGAAAGTATTCCTTACATTGCCAAAGCGAATGGCTTACTTCTCTCATAATCACCAGGACATTTAGGAACCACATAGAAATCTTCAAGGAAATGCTCCAGTCAAGGAAATGATGAAATTGGATTTAGCATTCATTTATTTCTGTGGGCTCCATGCTTTCAAAACGTTTGTAACCTATGGCTGCAATCCGACATACACTTATGCATGAGTAAGTCCCACCAAACAAGGCAGACTTACTTCTGGGTAGGCATGTGCAGGATTGCACATTTAGTAATGTAGCATCCATGTTACCCAGAGGGCTGCAAAGACTGCTAAGGTCCAATGTGACAATGTCCCTAGAAACTTGATCTACTCAGTAGGGCTTGGGCAAGAAGACTCAGTAAATGTACCAGGTGGACTTTGCTCAAAGCTTTTAATGTGACCAAGCAATTTCCCTAAAGGAGTTGGTGACCACAGCATATTCATATTATCCATTAGCATCAAGTAGAATGATTCGATATAACTACCAAAAAAGGGAAAGAATAGAACTTCCTTCTATTAAACTGCAAATTACACTTTGATCAAGGAGACGACTGCTGTTAGTCAATCTAAATCCCCTTTTGCTTGGCCTTACTTGGGCAGTGCTGTATTCTTATCTCATGTGCAGAATTAAATTTTGATAAATGTACAGTAGGATGGTTGCTCTGTTCTGAGATTTAGGATGTTATTTCAGTTCAACCCTTTGAAGTATCTAGCTAATCTTTTCTTCCCAGTTGTAATAATGAGAGAGCAGGGATTATATATACCGTATTTTTCGCTCTATAAGACGCACCAGACCACAAGACGCAGCTAGTTTTTGGAGGAGGAACACAAGGGAAAAAATATTCTGAATCTCAGAAGCCAGAACAGCAAGAGGGATCGCTGCACAGTGAAAGCAGCAATCCCTCTTGCTGTTCTGGCTCCTGGGATAGCTGCGCAGCCTGCATTTGCTCCATAAGACGCACACACATTTCCCCTTACTTTTTAGGAGGGAAAAAGTGAGTCTTATAGAGCAAAAAATATGGTATACACACACACATACCAGTGAATAATATAAGCATAAAAATGAGAAATAAAAGTAGTCATGAAATCGATGTATAATATTACATTTTAAAACAGTCTACAGCCCAATAGAAGCATAATGATCCCCGTCCCAAAACAATTGACATAGTGAAAAATGTTTAGCTTTTTAAATGCTAATTCAGAGCTGCTCAACCAGGAATTTATTGCTTCTCTGCAATGACTTTAGAAATTTTAACATGGCCAGAATAATAGGCCTGCATCTTACTGCTGGGAAGTTTTTGCCTCTGCACATGAGTCTGAGAATGTTCTGAACAGTTCACATTGAGTTCATGAAACATCACACCCTGACCTGTTCTTAATGCATTGTTGACCAGATCTATGGACTGCGATTGTTATGTTCTTTCAAGTCATGCAATATCAATCACTAGTAACCATGTGTTCCCTTTCCCAACCTTCATGATTAATGCCCTTGCATTGTATTTATGTTAACCAATCAGCAACAAGCACATATGTGGAAATGCTGTAATATTCAATAAAAGGGACTTCCCGAGCACATGCTCGAGAGATGCCTCCCGTATGACACCTTGCCATTCGTCTGTCGCTTATTTCAACCCAACATCTTACCATTGCTGTATGTCATTATCACAGAGTCAGCATGAGTGCGAGAGAAAGAAAAACACTAACAACAGTCCGATTCCAATGTCCCTCCACTAAAATACAACTGCATGGTTTGAATTGAAAAGATCCTAGGATCTACACAAGGACATATTACATAAGGAACCAACACAGACTGGCATTTCGTTAAGACAGATGCCCTACGTTCAGGGAATTGAAAGCAAACACATCACTCAAGAAACTTAGAGGACTGGAGCACAGTATTTGCCTCAAGGAAAGTATAAGCTGAAAGTCCCATTTGTACACAATTTGCAGGACAGAGGAGAGTTGCATGATGCTCTGACTCCATCTTCAGCAGATGATGATGACAATTTGAGAGGATTATTGTGTACCCAGGTAATTCAATTAGCTGCTAATGAAACACTTTGTATCTTCATATCTTATTTGACTGTAATCCCCTGTGGATGGCACCAGGCACAAGTGATATAATTTAAGCCTCAATGAGATCTTTAAACAGGGGTAATTAAACATGTAATTATATATTATCTAGACAATTACCAGCAGAGAATGGCAGATATGCCATTTCTTTGGTTTTTCATTATACAGGGCCTTAAATGTTGAAGCCTGACTTGATATCATACGGAGGCAGTCCATCAAGATCTGATCCTGCTAAAGACCTTTTGAAATGAATGGTCATAGTGTAGAAGTATAAGACTGGACTCTACAAAGCATTTACATGGGAGCTTTGCAAACAAACAAAACAAAACACAATATTATATTATATTGATGTTTTGTTTTGTCAAGGTAATGGACGATCCCTTGTGGACTCAGTTCAGTTAGCCGTATTTCCACAAAATGGTAGGTAGAGATAGCACAAAGTCACTATGTCACAGCACCAGCCTAGAATAATCAATAGCTGAGAAGCATTTTCTCTGAAGTATAGTTGGTAGAAGACGGGCACTTTTCCAATACAGTTAGCATTTGTGCCAGCAGAACTGGCAAATGGTATGCTGAAGTGAACTGAAGCAACCCAATGATAAAACTTCAAGCAAATATAAGGAGCACAATTCACGCACAAAAAGTTACAGCTAGCAAAATGCAAACCCATTTTACCAATCTGTCAGGGAGCTAAGAAGTGGGGTAAAAATGTTTCCTCTTCCAATGCATTGACGTAACTTTGATGTGGCTTTGTGCTACCATCATGTAGTCCAATCTGAGTGATCGGATGGCACTGTCAAATAGTCTAATCTGGCTGGATGTGTGATGCCAAGGTATTGCGAATGTGACCTATGACTGACTTACGAAAAAGGCGTTTTAAAAAAATCTGTCAAAGCTGAAAAGCAGGAAAAGATGGAAGCTAAGAACACTACACAAAAAGGGGTAAAGAAAGGGTGGGGTTGTTGGGGACTTCCGGGGAGGCACCTCCGGTAATGGCGGAATTCCTCTGACCGGGAGGAATCTGCTCCGTGGGAATCTGGGTCTGGCCGCCACGGCGAAGGCAGAGACCCGTTAAAATCACAGGCGGGAGAAGCCTGTGAGCGTGGGATTCGGCGGGCACCTTTTGCGCCTCCCCCACTCGCGGGGAACCCCGGTTTTTGGGGCTCCGGAGTGACGTGGGGTGAGCGGCGCGGTGCATCGAATGGTCTGCTTTTTCCACGGAGCGAAGCCGCATAGCTGTTGCCGGAGAGCGCTGACCTTTTCCTGTGGACAATTTGACTTTAAAGTAATTACCTGTGAGTAGAGCTGAAGCGGAAGAATTGGATTTCTAAATGTTTAATGTAACGGGGAGGTTCAAAACAGGAAGTCCACCTTCCCCTTTTGTAAATAGACTGAGGCAATGAAGTTGCAAGCTGGAGTCCTGGAAAGTCTTTTGTAAAGGATTAAATTTCCAATGGTAAAGAACATTAAACCCCCTCTTGGAGGCAGGAGAAGAGAGGGGAAGTTGCGGATTGAGTATGCCTGCGGGAGAGAGCGAAGAGATTTAAAACACCGCCGCTCTGACCCTGGAAACGGGCTGCTAGTAGGACTGACATCTTTTGGAATGTTCATTGACAGCGTTTAGAACGTTCATTGACAGCTAGTTAAATAAGAGAAATACATTGTTTTTACTGTCTCTGGCTGCTTTAAAAAGGAGTAAAAGCAACTGAAAATTGAAACTAATTTGAAACTAATTTTGGATTGTTTAAAAGAGGATACTATTGACTATTACAAATAGAAACTGTTTCCCCCTAGTGGAAGCCTTTGAAACCGGTTGCTTTACAAAAGCTGGGCTAGGGGAATTTCCAGCTGCAAGTTAAAAACCGTGAGACTCTGAGACTGACCTTGAATCTTTTAAGTGTTATGGTAAATGGAAGAGGAAAAACAGACCAGTCAACTGCTGACAAAACATTAAGGTCTGGGAGGACTTGGCAACAATCCAGGAGAGGTCCATCATCAGGCCCTCCGGCTCCCTCTGTTGCTGCCTTTGTACCAGTATATTTAAAACCAAGAGGAATGTCGACAGAAGAGGCTTTAGTGGCTGCATTATACAAGATAAATGACTCATTGGATCAGCTTCACAGGAAAATGGACATGATAAATGTGAAAGTGGATGTTTCAATTACTAAAACTAACTTAAATACAGAAAGTATAAATAATACCAATACAGAAACCACCCAGAAATTGATACAAGAACCTATTTTGATATGGCAAACTGTGGAGGAAGTCAGGGAAAAGCTGTTGTTGCTGAAGGTAAAGTAACACAACTGGAGAGAAAGAGAAAGAGAGCCCCAGCCCTACAGAGGCAATTTGATGAACATAAGTTGACGCTTGCTATGACTGAACTTAAAGAAAAACAGACGAATTTGAGGATTAGAGTTCACCTTTGAGGGCATGTCCAAGGATTAAGACACTTTGGGAGATGATTCATAACGAAATGAAAAAGGTATTTAAATATACCCTTTTGAAGAAACCAGAGGCCTTTCTCTTGGGCATGGTCGGCCAGTTGGTGTTAAAGAAGGATAGAACTTTTTTCATGTATGCAACAATAGCAGCAAGAATACTCATTGTGAAGTACTGGAAGACACAAGATTTATCTATTCGGGAAGAATGGCAGATGAAGTTGATGGACTATATGGAATTGGCGGAAACGACTGGCAGAAATCCGAGACCAGGGAGAAGAGTCGGTGGAAGAAGACTGGAAAAAGTTTAAGACTATTTATAGAAATACTGTAAAAATAATGAATGTTAGAAAAATGTTGGAATGAAGTTATATGGCTTTAGTAGAAATGCTATAAGGAATCAAGTATAAATAGATTAATAGTGTATTAAAGGGAAAAATAAGGCTAGAATATGTTAAGATAATTATAGGATAGAAAACAGAGGAAGATGGAAAGGAATTGCTGAAATAATTAAGAGAAGTGGAAAACAAAAAGGGAGGTGTGAGTGTTAGCTTTTTGCAGTATGGTAGCGCTGCAGAGAGCTTGCTGGGGAGACCATGCATTAAAAAGGGACTCAAAAATAACTTAAACAAGGTTTTAATAAGAAAAACAAAAACTCCTTTTACACTAAATACATTAACAAACAAACATGACCCAACCACCAACCCATCACCCAGGGTAATGGGAGAGCTAGGTGCTGCTCCTTATATACTACACCCAATTACCAACACAGCTTAATCAATACAACTCAGCAGCACCTGCTATGTTTCACAGCTGTAAAGCTGGGTCTCGTTATTTTGCTCTGGCCCTTTCTCTGGCCCCTTAAAGACATACACATCGAGTGGAACAATGATGAACCTTTACATATTAAACCATTCAACATTTCCCCTGCGGTTCATCATTGTGGAACAAAAACATAAAGCATACTTTGTACATGTTCTTCATGTATACCTTTTGGAAGTGCTTTAGTAAAAGTGTCTGCAATTTGATTGTCACCTGGGACATATTTAAATACAACCATTTCATCAGCAATTAGTTTCTTCTCCTGAGATAGTTTTGATAAACCGTTAACTTTTAAAAATTGATCTATCTCAGACATTTCCTGAGGCCCTTGTGTATAAAGTTTTTTGAAATATTTCTGAAAACACTTTCTAATTTCTTCTGGTTTCTGAATGTTTCTCCTTCCACCTCTAGATTAGTGACAAAGTTCAATTTTTGTCTCTTTTCAACTGCCATGCTAGCAGTTTTCCACATTTATTTGCCGATTCAAATGATCTTTGTTTCATTTGTTTAATTTTCCATTCCACTTCTTGATTTATCAATTTCGCATATTGAGCTTGGTGGAATTTGATTTCTCTTAAAACCTCTTTTGATTTTGGTTTTAGTCTCAATTTTTCTCTCCTTCTCTTATCTTCTATAATATCCTGTCTTTTTTCCATTCCAAAGTTTTTTCTTGATTGTGTTCTGTTGTATCAGAACCCCCTCATTACAGCTTTACTTGCATCCCAAATTGTTCTCTTTTCCACCGAAGTGTTCAAATTGATTTCAAAATAGTCCTTTAAAGTTTTTTGGGCCTTCTTCACAATCTCCTGATCTCTTAGTAGGGTGTCATTCATTTTCCATCTGAAAGAACCGGTTGGAGTAAGTCTCAATTCCACTTTCAAAGCATTATGGTCGGAGCAAGTCTTTGGACAGATTTCCACTTTTCTGATCTTAGGTGCCAGTCCTCTAGTTGTCCATATTTGGTCGATTCTTGTCCATGATAGGTGGGCCTCAGAAAAGAATGTTCCTTCTTTACCTAAGGGGTTCCTTTGTCCTCCAAATATCAATCAAGTCCATGTTGTCAGTTAGTTCAAAGAAGGTTTTAGGTAGTCTGCCGTCTTTAGTTAAATTTTGATTTTGTGACTTATCCATGTGAGTAGAAACCACCCCATTCATATCACCCATCATTATGATGTTAGTATAGTCCAGATAGTCCAGCATTATCTCATGCAGCTTCTTGTAAAATTCCGATTTCCCTCATTTGGTGCATATATTCCTAAAATCAAAAACTTTTCTCCTTGTGTTTGTATCTCAATTGCCAAAATTCTTCCTTGCTCATCTTTAAACAGAAGTTTCGGTGACAGGTTCTCCTTTGCATAAATCACTACGCCTCTTTTCTTGACTTTGTCTGATGAAATAAATTCTTGGCCTAGTCTTTTATTGATTAACACTTTCCTATGGAGTCTAGTCACATGCGTTTCCTGCAAGCAAACAATATCCAATTGTTCTTTTTTCAAAATATGAAAAATCCTTCGTCTTTTTTTCCGGGGAATTCCCGCCATTTATATTCCAACTGTACAGCTGCAGAGACATTCTGAATCAATCTGTTGTTCCTATACTGGGGTGTCTTCCTTTTCTTCTGGCCCCGAGGGTGTAGGTGTCAGTGCTATTCCAGGCAGTGGCGGTGGCCAGGAGGCTGCTGCTCCCTTCTGAAGGTCTTCTCCGTGATCGTGCAGGAACTTCTGGTTATCTTCTGATGTTTTAATCTTAATTTTCTTTCCTTTAAAATTAAAAGATAAACCTTGGGGAAACTCCCACCTATATGGAATCGCGTTTCCTCTCAGTAGTCTTGCTAAGTCTGTATATGTAGCTCTGAGATCCAAAAGTTGTTTAGGAATATCTCTATAAAGTTCTGCTCTTTTGCCTTGGATATCAAGTGATTTCTTAAAGTGGAGGCCTAGTATTTTATCTCTCTCCTGCTTGGATCTCAAAATAATCAAACAGTCTCTGGGCTTGTCCCTCCTCACGACTCTTCCTAATCTGAACGCAGTTGTAATCTTAAAGTCTTTGTCCTCTTCTATACCCCAGAACTTAGAAAATTCTGCTGTCAGATAACCAATTAAATCTTCCTGTTCAAGCTCTGGGATAGCTCTTAATCTCAGATTATTTTCCCGGTTTCTCAATTCCACCATAGACAGGTAGGCCTGCTGGTCGCTAACGTGCTTGTGTAGTGGCCTTACCTCTTCTTTTATAGCCTCAGCTTTTTGATTTGCTTGTTCTGCTTTTTCATTGGCTGCTTCAGCCAGTCTCCGATTTTCCACAGTTGCTTCCTTTGAGATTCCCAATAACTTGTGTATGTTGTGCAACTTGGTCAGATAATTTAGTAATAGAGGATGTGGCTTGGTCTATTTTTGCCGATTGGTCATCCACCTTCTTGTTCAATATTGCAAATTGTTCTAGCATTTGTTTTAAGAAGGTATCCGATCCTCCCTTATAATTTAAGCCTCAATGAGATCTTTAAACAGGGGTAATTAAACATGTAATTATATATTATCTAGACAATTACCAGCAGAGAATGGCAGATATGCCATTTCTTTGGTTTTTCATTATACAGGGCCTTAAATGTTGAAGCCTGACTTGATATCATACGGAGGCAGTCCATCAAGATCTGATCCTGCTAAAGACCTTTTGAAATGAATGGTCATAGTGTAGAAGTATAAGACTGGACTCTACAAAGCATTTACATGGGAGCTTTGCAAACAAACAAAACAAAACACAATATTATATTATATTGATGTTTTGTTTTGTCAAGGTAATGGACGATCCCTTGTGGACTCAGTTCAGTTAGCCGTATTTCCACAAAATGGTAGGTAGAGATAGCACAAAGTCACTATGTCACAGCACCAGCCTAGAATAATCAATAGCTGAGAAGCATTTTCTCTGAAGTATAGTTGGTAGAAGACGGGCACTTTTCCAATACAGTTAGCATTTGTGCCAGCAGAACTGGCAAATGGTATGCTGAAGTGAACTGAAGCAACCCAATGATAAAACTTCAAGCAAATATAAGGAGCACAATTCACGCACAAAAAGTTACAGCTAGCAAAATGCAAACCCATTTTACCAATCTGTCAGGGAGCTAAGAAGTGGGGTAAAAATGTTTCCTCTTCCAATGCATTGACCTAACTTTGATGTGGCTTTGTGCTACCATCATGTAGTCCAATCTGAGTGATCGGATGGCACTGTCAAATAGTCTAATCTGGCTGGATGTGTGATGCCAAGGTATTGCGAATGTGACCTATGACTGACTTACGAAAAAGGCGTTTTAAAAAAATCTGTCAAAGCTGAAAAGCAGGAAAAGATGGAAGCTAAGAACACTACACAAAAAGGGGTAAAGAAAGGGTGGGGTTGTTGGGGACTTCCGGGGAGGCACCTCCGGTAATGGCGGAATTCCTCTGACCGGGAGGAATCTGCTCCGTGGGAATCTGGGTCTGGCCGCCACGGCGAAGGCAGAGACCCGTTAAAATCACAGGCGGGAGAAGCCTGTGAGCGTGGGATTCGGCGGGCACCTTTGCGCCTCCCCCACTCGCGGGGAACCCCGGTTTTGGGGGCTCCGGAGTGACGTGGGGTGAGCGGCGCGGTGCATCGAATGGTCTGCTTTTTCCACGGAGCGAAGCCGCATAGCTGTTGCCGGAGAGCGCTGACCTTTTCCTGTGGACAATTTGACTTTAAAGTAATTACCTGTGAGTAGAGCTGAAGCGGAAGAATTGGATTTCTAAATGTTTAATGTAACGGGGAGGTTCAAAACAGGAAGTCCACCTTCCCCTTTTGTAAATAGACTGAGGCAATGAAGTTGCAAGCTGGAGTCCTGGAAAGTCTTTTGTAAAGGATTAAATTTCCAATGGTAAAGAACATTAAACCCCCTCTTGGAGGCAGGAGAAGAGAGGGGGAAGTTGCGGATTGAGTATGCCTGCGGGAGAGAGCGAAGAGATTTAAAACACCGCCGCTCTGACCCTGGAAACGGGCTGCTAGTAGGACTGACATCTTTTGGAATGTTCATTGACAGCGTTTAGAACGTTCATTGACAGCTAGTTAAATAAGAGAAATACATTGTTTTTACTGTCTCTGGCTGCTTTAAAAAGGAGTAAAAGCAACTGAAAATTGAAACTAATTTGAAACTAATTTTGGATTGTTTAAAAGAGGATACTATTGACTATTACAAATAGAAACTGTTTCCCCCTAGTGGAAGCCTTTGAAACCGGTTGCTTTACAAAAGCTGGGCTAGGGAATTTCCAGCTGCAAGTTAAAAACCGTGAGACTCTGAGACTGACCTTGAATCTTTTAAGTGTTATGGTAAATGGAAGAGGAAAAACAGACCAGTCAACTGCTGACAAAACATTAAGGTCTGGGAGGACTTGGCAACAATCCAGGAGAGGTCCATCATCAGGCCCTCCGGCTCCCTCTGTTGCTGCCTTTGTACCAGTATATTTAAAACCAAGAGGAATGTCGACAGAAGAGGCTTTAGTGGCTGCATTATACAAGATAAATGACTCATTGGATCAGCTTCACAGGAAAATGGACATGATAAATGTGAAAGTGGATGTTTCAATTACTAAAACTAACTTAAATACAGAAAGTATAAATAATACCAATACAGAAACCACCCAGAAATTGATACAAGAACCTATTTTGATATGGCAAACTGTGGAGGAAGTCAGGGAAAAAGCTGTTGTTGCTGAAGGTAAAGTAACACAACTGGAGAGAAAGAGAAAGAGAGCCCCAGCCCTACAGAGGCAATTTGATGAACATAAGTTGACGCTTGCTATGACTGAACTTAAAGAAAAACAGACGAATTTGAGGATTAGAGTTCACCTTTGAGGGCATGTCCAAGGATTAAGACACTTTGGGAGATGATTCATAACGAAATGAAAAAGGTATTTAAATATACCCTTTTGAAGAAACCAGAGGCCTTTCTCTTGGGCATGGTCGGCCAGTTGGTGTTAAAGAAGGATAGAACTTTTTTCATGTATGCAACAATAGCAGCAAGAATACTCATTGTGAAGTACTGGAAGACACAAGATTTATCTATTCGGGAAGAATGGCAGATGAAGTTGATGGACTATATGGAATTGGCGGAAACGACTGGCAGAAATCCGAGACCAGGGAGAAGAGTCGGTGGAAGAAGACTGGAAAAAGTTTAAGACTATTTATAGAAATACTGTAAAAATAATGAATGTTAGAAAAATGTTGGAATGAAGTTATATGGCTTTAGTAGAAATGCTATAAGGAATCAAGTATAAATAGATTAATAGTGTATTAAAGGGAAAAATAAGGCTAGAATATGTTAAGATAATTATAGGATAGAAAACAGAGGAAGATGGAAAGGAATTGCTGAAATAATTAAGAGAAGTGGAAAACAAAAAGGGAGGTGTGAGTGTTAGCTTTTTGCAGTATGGTAGCGCTGCAGAGAGCTTGCTGGGGGACCACGCATTAAAAAGGGACTCAAAAATAACTTAAACAAGGTTTTAATAAGAAAAACAAAAACTCCTTTTACACTAAATACATTAACAAACAAACATGACCCAACCACCAACCCATCCCCCAGGGTAATGGGAGAGCTAGGTGCTGCTCCTTATATACTACACCCAATTACCAACACAGCTTAATCAATACAACTCAGCAGCACCTGCTATGTTTCACAGCTGTAAAGCTGGGTCTCGTTATTTTGCTCTGGCCCTTTCTCTGGCCCCTTAAAGACATACACATCGAGTGGAACAATGATGAACCTTTACATATTAAACCATTCAACAGTGAGGAGGTCATGGAAATAAGGGAATGAAAGATAAGACATTGAAATCGTTTTGTGTTTGAAATGGTTTGTGTCTTGCTTTGTTAGTTTTATGTTTTTCTTATTTTTCTTTTTTTCTGATTTTTTTGTCTTTCTGTTTTGTTGTGTTTAAACGGTTGAAAAATTAATAAATATTATTTAAAAAAAAAAAGGTTGGGGTTGTGGCATTTTCCACCTCTTTCAAATCCTCTTTCATTTAGAAAATGCTTGTTGTTAAATATTCAGAACAGTTAACTTAAACAGTCATGTGTCATCACGGTCCATGTATTTAGAGTGCCAAAGGATACTGGAACTAGTCAGGTATGATTGGCTCATAATCTAAGTGAAAGTAAAGGTAAAGGTACCCCTGCCCGTACGGGCCAGTCGTGTCCGACTCTAGGGTTGTGCGCCCATCTCACTTAAGAGGCCGGGGGCCAGCGCTGTCCGGAGACACTTCCGGGTCACGTGGCCAGCGTGACGAAGCTGCTCTGGCGAGCCAGCACCAGCACAGCACACGGAAACGCCGTTTACCTTCCCGCTATAAAGCGGTACCTATTTATCTACTTGCACTTAAGGGTGCTTTCGAACTGCTAGGTGGGCAGGAGCTGGGACCGAAAGACGGGAGCTCACCCTGCCGCAGGGATTCAAACCGCCGACCATACAATCGGCAAGTCCTAGGCACTGAGGTTTTACCCACAGCGCCACCCGCGTCCCTAAGTGAAAGTACTTCAGCCTTGACATGAATCTATAAATATTGCCTTTTTGTTCTATCAAGAAGGAGAGGCAATCAGTAGATTAACAATGCTGAACAATTATGTCTTTATTTCCCTTGGAAATTGTTATTCTATGGACTCCTAGGAAAATGTATCTATGAAAAGAAGAAGAAGAACCCTACTGGATAGTGTTGAATCCTGTTTCCAGAAGTGCATTTGAAGTTAGAGGTTCTATTTAACTGCAATGACTAATTGCTGGTATCCAGTATCCTTTTAAACCCACCTAACTAGTACCCATCCACACAGCTTGTGGCAGCAAATCCTGTAATTACATTATGTGCTGCATGAAATAGTGTTTCTGTCCATTCTGAATCTATTGCCAATCAGTTCCATTGCTCTACCAATGATATAAATATTATGGAGGAGAGTGTTATGATCTGTCTGTAGCTCAGCAATGAGTGTAAGATAGAATAGGATCTCTGGGTGTTTGGAAGGAGATAAGCAAGGACTTATGAGTCCCATTTGTTAAACAATGGTAACACCATTCTCCACTCCTAATTCATACTGCCAAAGTAAGAAAGTTGTGAGGGGGGTAACCAGGAGTGGGGTTTTGCATGGAAAGACTGTGAGCTCTACTTAGTTCTAGTGCTCAAAACAAATCCCTAGACTCAGAATTCTTTTGTTCTAAGCATATTTATCTTGCAGCAAACTTCACTTGATGGATCTAAGGGTTGTGGGGCAGGGTTAGAACCTGGAGGCCTCAAGTCTGACGATCTCTGCTGTAGCATATACTGTACAAGACATGGAAGCAAGGCTACTAAGACAGCAAGGGAAACTTGTGCTTGTAGCACTATGGACAGCTCCTAGTGAGCAACTTGTGCCAATCAAGATGAACTGAAGCCTTAGGAGCTTCTGCCTCCAGTCCATCCCTTCCAAATCTGCCCTCTCACTTGAAGATTGCAGGCAAGCACCCTGGCCTAAAACCAGGTGCTTCTCCTCCCTGTGGCCACCTGCTTAGCACACCCCCAACAATGCTGGGCAAGAGCAATAGGGTGAGGTGCCCAGGCCAGAAGCCTAGTCCTGTTCCCCACCAGCAGTGTGAAATATGCCATGGCCATGCCACTCTCTGTTTACTTTATCCACACCATAAATAATTTCAAAACCTCTTTCATGTTCCTTGTTAGTTATCTTTTTTCTAAACTAAAAAGTTCCAAATGCTTCAGCCTTTCCTTTTATGGAAGGTACTAGAAACCCTCAATCATTTTGGTTGCCCTTTCCTGATCATGCTCTGCCACATCATTTTTCCCTTTAGGTGGGACAGGCAGAACGTCACAAATTCTAGTCTTTTGCCAGCTTCAGTTGTTATCTATTTGACGCTAACATGCTGCCTTGGCTCTTTAAAATTACAAATGGCCTGAGACAGAATAGCACAAGAATTGCCTCCTCTCCGCTACCACCACTACGAGAACCCCAGTCCAACTCAGAGGTTTCCTTCCCTGCCATCAGTGTCATGGAGGGTGGGTACCTGGAAGCTGCAAAACCCAGGATTTGATGTGGCTTCCACAAAGAGGTTCACTATACCCCATTCCAGACACTTTTGGATGGGCTGTGAATACATTTTTTTATTCTGGTGGGCTTTTCCAGAACTGTACCAATAATTCTTTATAAGATGTTGCTACTGGTTTCATCTGTCATTTTAGTCTTGTCTCGTTTTTCTTATTGGTTATGGGGAAAGTCTATTTTCAGTACTACATTGTCCATTTATCTTATGTAGTTTTCAACTTCTGCAGTAAGCCATGAAGAAGTAGAAGGGCAGTATAGAAATGAATAAAGAACAGTAAAAAAGAACTGTGCACATTATTCCAACTGTGGCTGTGCCATCTAGACTGATATAAATGCATTGCTTCTCCCAAAAAATCAGTTGCTCAGTTGAGTAATGGTAAGAATGTTAGATGAGCCTGCAGGATCAGGCCAATGGCCCATCTAGTCCAGCAACAACACTCTGCCCACCTGTGATTCCCAACTTATGCCAAACGCATCTCAAATAATTTGTCGTCAGCTGCCAACTTGGGTACCTGACAGCCCCCGATTATACTGTCAGATATAATTTCCTCCTTCTCCAGTTTTGGCTATATTTAAACAGGTCCTTAACACTTTTCTTGTCCTGTTTTGGTTGTGTTGAATACCCAAGCCCTACGTTACTTTCACCTCATTCTCTAGAATTTTGTAAAGCAAAATAAAGGGAGAAATTAAATTAACATTGGCATCAAATTTACAAAGTGTGGTATGAATAGTCTTGCCCGGCCTATGTTGTTGAAAGAAGGGGGGAAAGGGTGTTTTAAATAGGAGCGCACTTTAAATGCATTCCGTGGAGATTAATGTACACAGTGCTGTGTGGTGAAAACATTTTATTTAATCTAAAAAAGCTTTTTAGTTAGCCATAAATCAACGCTGGCCAACATTTTAAAAGGTGCTTCTTATTATGGATCAAATCCAAAGCCCATTAAAAGAAACAGAACATCCCCTATAAACTATGCTATTTAAGGAGAAATGCTGTAAAAGCTAGAGAACATATTAACAAGGATCATGTGGGAAGCTGTCTCCATGTGACAATTAACTTTCACTGCGGCCACAATGTTCAGAGCTGGTCACTGTGTCATTCTGGCACCAGGCACAGGCCCCATCTGCACTATGCATTCAAAGCCAAATCATCTCACTTTATAAAGAGCAAAAGCTTCCCCCAGAGAATCATGGGAAGTGGAGTTTGTTAAGGGCACTGAGAGTTGTTAGGAAGCCCCTATTGCCCTCACAGAACTACAGTTCCAGAGCACTCTGATAATTGTAGCTCTGAGGGGAATAGGGGCCTCCTAAAAGCAGCCTCAACAAACTTCAGTTCCCAGGATTCCCTGGGCCTAAGCGATGGCTGTGTAAAGTGGTATAATATGGCATTAAATGTATAGTGGAGATGGGGCCACAAACAGTTTACACACCACCCTCAGCCTCAGTGTGCTCTCTTTGCCAGGCATGGTGCATTCTACACATTGTGACTGTGGCTGGAAACCCTAGGCAACCTGTGGGCAAATGGGCGCATGTGACCCTTGACCTCACTTCATGTAGGTGGCAAGGAAAGCAAAGGGGGGCAATGGAAAGAGAGAAATAGAAAGGGAGAGAGAAGGGGTGGTACACCTATTTTTTTGTGTCTATGTCCCCAATGCATCCCAGGCATGTGTCCCCTGGTGGGAATGCAGCACCTGACAGGAAAAAAAGTCCCCCCAGGATTGCTTTTGAGTGTGCCATCACTGTGTGAAGACTGAAATGTGTGCTCTGAGCATGTGCAATAGAGGTGTGATGGCTCAGACCTTAGCTTGTTGGGCTTATTTCTGCCCTTGTTTCTTGATACAATTGCCTCTGCAGCAGATTTGCAAATAGCCTCTCGCCTTGGGTGAGAAGACATTGCCTTTATTTCAGCAAGCACTCTCCCCCTGGCTTGCAACTTTTCCAAAATTTTCCTTGCAAGCCGAAGTCTACAGTTTTAAAAAATTTCCCAAATACTAGTTGTGCCTCATATTTGCTATAATTATGATAATGATAATAATGGAACCTATCTTACATCAGTGCTTTTAATGCCATGGTTACAGCTTTCAAATGAATGGGACAAATTATTGTTTCGTCCTTAGAAAGAAAAGATAGGCAGGATGTATTTATTTTTTTTAAAAAAATGTTTTTTTTAATGGTATGTTGGGGTTTGCCATCAAGGGACAGGCAAAGATTTCTGCTTCCCTGTTCTATTTTTGTGGGGGAGGTATCACTTTACCATAATGTCTACTCCAGGGTAAATACCAAGTTGTTTTCCCCAACTAGCCTGTATCCTGATATATGGGAAATTATTAAGATCTGCCCTCCAAGGCATGTTGTTAATGTTACTGTTACTGAGATCCTTTCCCCTCCCCCACACACCAGTTTTATGAGTAGGGGGTTGTGCTAAATTTGAAAATACTTGAGCCTCTTCTCGCTACCACCATTATTAACTAAAAAGTTACATTTAAAGCACTGCTCACATGTTGTGATGATAAGCAATTGTTATTGTGAAATGGAATACAGTGGTACATTGGGTTACATATGCTTCAGGTTGCATACACTTCAGGTTACAGATTCCGCTAACCCAGAAATAGTGCTTCAGGTTAAGAACTTTGCTTCAGGATAAGAACAGAAATCGTGCTCCGGCGGCACGGCAGCAACAGGAGGCCCCATTAGCTAAAGTGGTGCTTCAGGTTAAGAACAGTTTCAGGTTAAGTACGGACCTCCGGAACGAATTAAGTACTTAATCCGAGATACCACTGTATGTGGAACCATTGTTCTAAAAGCAGTAGATTGGCTACACAACATTGACATGCTTCTCTTTTATTCTCTTCTATATTTCTTACATTTCCACTTGGGGGTTGCCATGATAATCAAAATAAGGATTCCAATAAAGGGGAAAGTAAATTTAATTTACTTTTCCCCACGTGGCAGCAGAGACAGCCCTCCCATAACTGCACACACAAATATTTATTGTGAAGCACAAGGGGGGGAACAATGACAATTAATAAGCTCTCCGCAAGACCAGCACATGAATCAAAAAGGGCACCGTGTCCTTCTGAGCTGCTTGCTCATTAGTTAGAGTTGTTACACTGCTGGGCCAAAGCTAGAAGTCAATACTTGAGCTCTGTGGGATTTCTCTTGCCTGCCCTTTTTATCCGTCTTTATTGAGTGAGCACTGATGGTATAGGATAATGTAATTTTCCAAGCCTTTTTAAGCAGCTGAGATTCATGAGCAAGGTCAGGCACCATACCAAAGGCTCCATGCAGCATTTTCTTCACATGAAATTTACAATATGTTCAGGCTGAATGAAACATTCTCCAGATTCAGTTTTCCTTTGGCTTGAAAATAGTGATTTAGAGGGTGTGCAACCCCAAACCCTCCATTCTGTGTTCTTCACAGTGATTGCTACTATCGACCGCCATGTTTTCACCTTTTGCTGGTGCTTAATTGCCTCTCCCTCATTCTTTCCCCTTTTTTGTTGTCGTTGCTTTACTCAATTCCTCTCCACCTAATCAGGGCCATGTATTGGACATGAAAGTGTAATAATCCTATGTAGCCAATCAGATTTAGGTATTTGCTGAGTTCAGCAGGAGGAAATTAAGCCTATTCAGAGTGAAGACAATGCTTGCTATGCAAATGACATCAGTGACTCTCACTAATCAGGAATCATAAAGTAGCAAGGCAACTCTCGACTCAGTTGCATAGTATCCAACTGCCCCGAAAATGCCAGGACCGTCACAAAAGCCTTTAAACCATCACAGCTTCTCACTTTGACATGCAGAGTCTTGAATTCCCATTTTTGTTGAGGTATGTTAACTGGAAATGGTTTCACGTTGGGGGAAGCAGGGGGAAGAGAGAGTTGCTGACTGAGGCTGCCTGCTTTTCTTACCCCTCCCGCTTCTCCACCACCTCCTGGGAGTCAGAGAAGACAGGATGTGGGGAAGAGTCTTGAACTGGGTCGGGGGGTGGGGGGAGCCAGGCCAGCAAGGGGGAGCAAGACAATGGGGATATCGCCATTGCCACCATCCCTGCCATGGGAGGCTGCAACTCTCCAGCCTGGTGGACCCCTAGCCACCTGGCTAGTTGACCATGCCAAACAAAAACAAGGAGGAGGTAAGCTAGGTCAGGCCTGAAGAGAATGTGGCGGCTGGAGGAGGCCCTGGGGTGGTGGGGATTGTTGCAACTGGGTGTAACTGGTGGGGTGCAGGCAGGCCTGTGGGGAGCTTAAGCCTGAGAGGTGGGGTGTGAAATAAACAGGCCTCTGGTGCAGGGAAGAGCAGGGGGGTTGGTCTTTCATCCCTCCGTAGGAGACAGGGATCTACTATGGCCCCTGTCCTGCACTAGACCCCCTTGAATCCCAGTCCAGAGTGTTTTAGCAATCCCTTTCTCCATCAGAGATCTTCAATGCAGTGACTCATGGAGGCCACTCTGGCTTCTGTGTTCACTTGTGGAGTTTTGGCAAACTGACTTCACTCTCTGCCAAAGCTCTGCAAAGTGGAACTAGACAATTCCACCCATAGATTTCCCTACCCCTTTGCAGATTTCAACTTGGTACATCCTTCAAGCTCTTTTTAAAAACCAAGTTATCAGGAATGTGAGGGGATGGCTTTAACAAAAGTTTTGACAATTGCAATTAAAATGCAGTAAGCCTGGTGTCAACTTGATATGGAAATCTAATGGAGTTCAGGGAGTGAGGATTTCCCTCTTGGTTGAACAATAGCTACTCAATAAATTAACATCTCAGTTTCAAAAAATATGAAGAGAAATAAAATGGTACAGAGAGGGAAATTAGGCAAATTTTCTCTAATGGATTAGTCCTAAGGGCTCCTTTACATATTACATTTTAAAGTGTATTTATAAAATTCTTTGCATATTCCTGTAAACATAATGTATGAACCTGATGCATATGTATTATCCAGATACAATCCCCAGGCACTGGATTCAGCCACAGTTCCCAATAAGTATTCACTGAGTGGCAGACGTGATTTCCCCTTGTCTCTGTGTGTGGAGGGGCATTGTACTGTGTATGAAATAGCTCTGCTCTGGCGCAAAGCACACATAGTCACACTGCAACCCTAGGAGTCCTGGCAGTATACAGATCCTTTCCCCACAAAAAAACACAGATACACCATCCATCATAATGATGGGCAAACAATAAATTGAGGAAACGAAACGAAACGAAACGGAATAAATAAATAAATAAATACCTTCCAGTAGCACCTTAGAGACCAACTAAGTTAGTTATTGGTATGAGCTTTCGTGTGCACGCACACTTCTTCAGATACATTCTTCAGATACATAAATTGAGGGTTACTTCTTAAACAATCTGGTTTCCAGAATATCTTGTTATTGTGCATTTTTGAGGCTTCATGCCTAATAACCTTTTCTGAAACATTTCCCCCTCATGTGGGTTTAAGTTCCGACAGACATTTCAAATTCAGCCTGGATTTATGAGCTTGCCAAATTTGTCACTAAAACTGATCGGCCAAGCTTTCTCAGCTGACAGCCTGACGGTGAACCCATTTCTTAGAGCCAACCATGTTTATCTAATCCAGTTGATTTCAGATTTCCTACCCTCAGAGAACAAAAAAAAATCCAAGGCTGTATGCCTGCCAGTGACCCCCTAAGTGTGTGCTGCAAACTCCCTGCACTTTTCTGGTGGTTCTGAAGCAGATTCTAGAGCACACTCAGTTAGCTGGCTGGGCCTAGCTATTACCCTGCACACAAAAAGAACGTTCTAGACATTGCCAAAATAACCCTGTCAGTGGCTGCAGATACCAGGGGAATATCAGTAGTTATGGAAAGCCCTCTTTTAAGCAGACTGTCAATCATTACCACATGTTAAGTTTCCTGCATTGCAGGGGGTTGGACTAGATGACCCTTGTGATATCTTCGAATTCTACAGTTCCATGACTCTATTATTACTCTTCTTCCTGAGGCTACTTTGAAAGGCTACCAGGGAAACCTGTGGTTCCTAGAAATATGAAGCTGATTCAGATACTTACTAGAGGAAGGGATCTCTTTGTTTGGTGAATCAAACACATTCCCTTCCCTGTTGAATGTAACATGTGAGGTGGGTGCAGAAGCACATGTATGAAATCAGTCATCCATGCATAGAGGTAATAGCATGACACATCTGTCTCATACGTTGCATGCACTAGGTGCATGATGGAGATTCCCAGCCCAGTAATTGAATTAACTAGGCTATATTCTTCATTTCACAGCTGCAAAGTCTTTTGTATTATTTTCTCCATTTTATTTCAAAGCTTAATATGCCACATGGCTTTAGAAAAGCTAGATCAGAGCTTTCCAAACTTTTCAAGTTGGTGACGCACTTTTTGAACATGCACCATTTTGCGACACAGCAATTCAGTTTTACTAGCAAACCAGAGGTTAATCAGGGGCCAGGAAACTTTTTCAGCAGGGGGCCAGTCCACTGTCCCTCAGACCTTGTGGGGGGCCGGACTATATTTTGAAGGGAAAAAATGAACGAATTCCTATGCCCCACAAATAACCCAGAGATACATTTTAAATAAAAGGACACATTCTACTCATGTAAAAACACCAGGCAGGCCCCACAAATAACCCAGAGATGCATTTTAAATAAAAGCACACATTCTACTCATGTAAAAACACGCTGGTTCCCGGGCCGTCCATGAGCTGGATTTAGAAGGAGATTGGGCCGGATCTGGCCCCCAGGCCTTAGTTTGCCTACCCATGGGTTAAACTAACCCTTTCCAGCTCCGGGAGGAGCGTAGGCAGTGCGACACACCTACACACTCCAGCTGACACACTAACGTGTCGCAACACACAGTTTGGAAAGCTCTGCACTAGAAAGACTAGTTACTGGGCAAGAACCTTCACAGCAGAAAATATAAATCTGGGCCACTGTAAAAGCAGTTGGTGGTGGGAATCTTCTGCTGACAGCAAAAGTTCAAGAAATATGCAGTGCACTGACTGTAAATCCCAGAGCTAAGCTAGAACTGTGCTGTGTGGATTCCAGCCTGAAACAAGAGATACTTCATTGATTTAGAACTGAACACTGAATGAACATGCATTGCAATTTGTTTTGGTTTCTGTATCTTCTTTTTTAAAAAGCCACTTTTCTTTCTTTTCTGTATTTGTGAAATGAATGGAAGTCATCTTCTCAAGACCCCAATAGTGCTCTCCAGGATATTGTAAACTGATAGAGACTCTTGCAGGTCAATTCCCTTCCCCGCTCTAAATCTTGCCACACAAACACTTCAACAGACACCCACTATGTTCCATGTCTCAATTTTCCCCAACCTTCCACAGATCCTGGAAGCCAGCCCTCATCAGGCCATTCGGTATTTCCTCCCTTTGAAATACAGTTTACAGATTAATATACTTCTGTGTACCTAGAGAGGGTTTTTTTAGTGTACAACAACCATGACATTCAGTGACCCCTTTCTGGTATTTTCTCTGTAAAGAGAAGTTCTCTCTTTTGATGGGACATATCTGGCCCCTTTGCACTTCTGTTACTTTCTCAGGGCTGATCACCAGACCTGGAATCCAATTCTTGGGGGCTGTTTCCCATGTGTCTCTTCACTGACATTTGTATATAGAAAGCTGCCTTCAGAGGCAAATTTAGGGCAGCACAGCTAGTTTCACCACACTGGGCACCACAGTAGGGGTCACCAAAGGGTGCCACAACTATGACACGGTGAATTGAGCAGAACAGAAGGCAAGAGCTGAGGGGCACTGAATTTTGGACTCACATAGGGTGCTGCTGGAATTTGAAAGACTAAAGTCTACCCCTGCTGCCTTATACCAAGTCAGACCATAGACGCATACAACTCAGTATTGACTACCTTGACTGGCAGTGGCTCTCCTGGCTTTCACGCATTGACGTAGACCAGACCCACTTGGAGATGAAGGGGGATCAAACCTGGCACCTTTCACATGCAAAACATGTGCTGTACCACTAAGCCATGGCCCTTCCTAAAGGAAATGATTGGAAAGGTTGGGTAACTGGTGCAGTTACTGGTCATAGCTTCTCTACAGCCCAGTGATGTTAACAAGAAATAGAAAAATGTGATACAACTACCTCATGTGATTCTCACAATCCTGGTTAGACAAGGGAGAATCATATTTATTATTTATTGTATGATATACTGATCTTCAGTGTAAAACATTTACAGGATGTTGGTATAGAAATTTGGTTTTTAAGAAAGCAACAAGCAGGGGGAATGGTGTTGCTTGCAATTTCTCCCCATCCCTTCCCAACAGCATGAATAGCAGAACATTATCCAATGTCTACTGGAAAATCAGTGGGTCCTCAGATTTGTCTTTGTTAGATATAGTCCAGATAGCTGAATAACCCATATGGTGAGAGGGGTACATAAGCCATTAGACCATCTGATCCACACCCCATATGTTGATAAAGAGGAGGGGAGCAACGGTCTATAGGATCACCTCACTGTGAGAAACAGAGATGCATTTCAACATGGCGGCTTAATGTTGCACATGTCCGTCCTTTGTGGTCCACTAGCATATTATGGCCCACAGTTTGGGAATCCCAACATTAGATAACATAGTGTGCATGTATATGACTGGGGTTCAGCTAGCACATTTTCACCCTCCCTTCCTCTTGCCATCCAACAAGAGTTTGCTTAGTAGAATTTAAATGCATGAGGCACAAAGTGGCTTAACTCTGAAAAGTCCCGCTAATACATGTTAAAGGGAGCATTCACAAAGTGTATTCATTTGCATTCATCAGTCTATATTAAACTCACCGCTCTAGTTGATGTGATTTGCTTCCCCATGTAGAAATGCCCCTGGGCATCAGAATGCCATTAGTGCTCTTGAAAATCCCTTTATTAGTCTGAGCTGTCCTCTGGTGAATTTGAATTCATTCACAGGCAGCAGCTGGGAAATTTGGTTTGATGGGAGAAGGAAAAGTAGGAAACCTGGGCCCTGTCAGCAGGTTTGCAAAGAAAGAAACTGGGGCAGGGGGAAGATATATAATACCTTTGGGAGGCTGAGACATCACAGGGCACTGGTGGGCCAATGTTTTTCAAAGGGGAAATGGTGACATTTTGCCAGAGTGGAACAGAGTGGAACAGGAAGAGCCCCACTGAAAAGAGAGGAAATCCAAGGTGGAAGGACAAGGAAAACCTGTTCTATAATGAAAATTCGTTAGAAAAGGGGTGACTTAATTCAAGCTGAAATACCTCTGTGGCATGAAGATCACACAGCTGAAGCACATTAGAGGTGTAACCAAGCTGTGTCATGATTTCAGCTTAGAATTTTATGTTATGCATCCTCTAGGCAGGCTTTGGGGTGAACACAGCAGAACCAAAGGCCCAGATTGGGCTGGAGGATTTGCTTGCCTCTTCAGGATACCCAGTTGGGACACAGCTCAGTGGTAGAGCATCTCCAGGGTTTTTATTTTAAAGGATCAGGTAACCTGAAAGACCTGTGCTAGAGAGCTGGTTGCCACCTGTCATAAACAGTCTGATCTGGTATAATAGGGATGGAGAACCTATGGCCCTCCAGATGTAGCTACTGTTCTACAGCTCCCCATGATTCCTGGCCATTAGCCATAGTGACAGGGGGTGATGGAAGTCCAACAACATCTGGAAGGCCACAGGTTTCCCATCACTGTGGCACAATGTAGTTCCCTTGGAGTGTGATAGGGTGGAGAGCCTCAGCACTTTGCAATCTACTTGGTAGCAAACTTAACTGTGTCTGGTCATAAATAAATAAATACACTGAATTCGAAAGGACATTTCACACATTATGCAAAAAAGGCAAATCTGGGTGCCAGCAAACATTCAGCAAGGAGGTGGAGCCAATCACAGGTTGACTACTACCCTGTTCAACATTTAAAAATGTAACCATTAACTATATTTTCCAAAAGGGGTGGTAGAGAAATCAGGTCTTGTCACTCATACTTTAAGAAACAAAGCTTCTTCTCTTTGTCTGCATAGAACCACTTAAAGTGAAGTTCTGCTTTCGGCAAAGCTGGCCAATTGTAAATCATCTCATGATTGTGAGACAGGATTGCTTAGGATAACAAAAACACTAGAAAAGGAGTTTGTCAGTACTGAAGTATCATTGCATTAATTCTGCTCTTGCAGCAAAATGTTAATATTTGATGGAAACATTCCATGGAACAAAAGCAGTAATGTAATGTTCTCTCAACTAGGCAGTGCTGTTCCTATAATCCCACAGAGCAATGGATGAATGGATCTATTTCTTTGACATCTGCAATATCACTCATAAATTTCTGCTATTTTATCTACACCTGCTGAATCAGAATCCATCCATTACCACACTCCATCAAGGTTTTACTGTCAAGTGCAGAACAGCATTCTTATATAAGGTTGTCTTCCCCATCCTGGTGCTCTCCAAATGTTCTGGACAACAACTCCCATCACCCCCAACCACTGGCCATGCTAGGTGGAGCTAACAGGAATCCAACAACATCTGAAGGCAATCACAGTGGCTACCTCTGAATTCTGTCATTGGGTTTTAAAAAGTATCCCTTGATGATACTTGAGGAATTTCAAAGTTAAAATTAACATTATTGAAAAATGCAACATTATGGATTCAAATTGCCAAAGTTTCCCCAAATTTCAAATTCATAAGAACTTTTGTTTCAGACACAAGCAATCAAAGGATGAATTCCACCACCATACCATAGACATGTAAGATCTCCTGCTTATGCAGGTCTAATTCAAATATTAACTTTAGGGAATGTGAGCTATTGCCTTGTATTCTGGTCCCAACATCCTCTACCAAAGGACCAAATATAGATACGCTCGATGTACAAGGGGTTCATGACTGGCCACAGTTCTGTGTCGCCTCACTCAGGCAGTCTCACTCATGCAACTACAATTGTATTTTGGGGAAGGGCTAAAATTGCTGTCCCCACCCTTCTATCATACCCCCATCACTGCCTTCTATGCATGTGGGCTCCAGTGATTTAGAACCCTGACCATGGAGGGTTTTTAACAACATGAGGAACCCACAAGCGTACGGCAGGCTCTTTGCTTTGGTGCTACCATCTCCAACAGCTGGAAGGTGGAGACAGGGATGTGAGAGAGGGGGCAGGGTCCCACTCCCCTGTGCACACCATTGTAATTGTGGGAGGGAAGATGACTGAAAAGCATTTAAGAAGTGCCTTGAATGCTGCTGTGAGCAGGCTGAAGGAAAACGGAAATGTGAAGGTGGCAAATAAACAAACAATATGAAAGGCTGCCTTCTTACTTGTATCTAGGACAAGAGAAAAGAACTGGACTCCACTGGAGGCCAGACTAAATGTCTTCTCTCCACTGATATCAAAGTGGATTGTTCCAATAGGGCCCTTTTCAGGATCTCTCTTCCAGACAATGCAAGTAACAATAGACACATCTTTAGCCCAAATTTATGACTCTCCCACTATTCTAAATTCTGCCACTCTTTCAAGCAGTCTTCCAATTATGGCAAATTACATAGCAATTTTGGAGCATCAAGCTAAATGTATTATGCTAGCTGCACACATTAGAAACACACACAAAAAGACTTCCAAAGATTATGATGATTAACATCTTATCATATTATCAGCAGGTAAAATGACATCAGTTTCAAAGGCTTTTAGCATTGCTCAAACCAAATCATCTTGGGGAGGAAAAACATACTGTAAATTAAAGGAAATGGGCGATGTAGTTATAATAAAAATGGTGTTGCTATTTTTAAAGTGATGAGGATGAGCAGTGTGTGCCTGTTTCTTTCCCCTCTAATTTCGCCATCATTGGAAGTTGACTATTTGGGGTTTATGGGGCTGATTAGAGTTGCATAAAGGGCTGGATAACCTAGTGGTGCATTATAAGAACACATTATTGGCTTTCAGAGACTAAAGCAATGGCCTGTCACATCCTGCATGTTGTGTCCATTAGCAATCAGTTACAGATGCTTGGGGATGGCCAACTAACAGAGGCAGCCTTTAAACCATTCCCAACATGAGTTTGGGCTGTTTGTTTATTTATTTGTTACAGTATTTCTGTGCTGCTCCACTACCAAAGTTCTTAGGGGTGGCACACAAGAAATATGCATGTATGCACAATCAAAATGCAATTACAATACAAAACACATCACTACAGACATAAGCCAATAAAATCAAGCGGTAACAGGCCTAAAAACACCAATAAGCCAGCCTATCTGAAGTAGAGTGCCATGCACACTATAAAGATTCCTTCCCTGACCCCACAATAATCAAGAGATCTAGTTCTCACTAGTCAGGCTTCAGTACTTGGGAAATAATTGTTGGTCTTTGAAATTGCAACCTCACCAAATGTGGGTTGCAAGAGCAGCAGCAGAAGCCATTTAAATATACAGGAGAAAACCTAAGAAGTGGGTTCCCAAATATATGATTGGGCTAAAGGTAGGTCACATCTCTGAAACGCAAAAGGCTACTGTTGTGTAGTCATTGATAGGCTTGGAAATGCTATCCTGATCCCTCTAACCTCTAAGCAAAGGACAACCTGCCACCAACATGCCTGAGAAACTTCTGGGACCTGGTGATATCAACAACAGTACAAGTCACTTCCATAGACACAGTTTGTGAATGGAATTGGAGGAGGGGTATGGGACATGAGAAGATGGGCAAAATGAGGAAACTGACAGCTGTCTTCCTCTACCCACCACTAATTCTTATGAGTCTTCCCTTTTTTCCCTCTTGGCATTTAAAAATAAATAAATCCATCCATCAATTAACCATTTGTTCTGTTGAGTCTCCTCATATCTTATCCACTTGTGGGTCAGACCTCGACCCTGGGGACATAACTCAGAAGTGAAACTTTATACATGGAACATAGCAAAATGGCCTTATACTGAGAAAGAACACTGGTCCATCTAGCTCCATATTGTCTACTTGGATTGGCAGCAGCTCTTTGGGGCTTTCAGGCAGGAGCATTTCCCAGCTCTACCAGAGGTTGAACCTGAGACCTTCTGCCTGCAACACATTGCCACTGAGCTACAGTCTCGCCTTCCTCTTGCCAACCTGGCTTGTGCACATAGAAGTACTTTGAAACGCAACACAAATCTCATACAGACAATAAAGTGGGTGGGTGCAGTTGTGTATACAGATAAATAATGTTTCTTCAGTCAGTTAGAAATAAAATAATATTTAATTGGCCCTGGTTTTCTATGCAGATTCCTTGCATTTGATTAAAATTATTAAGGATCCTTCCATTACAGGCAACTCATCTTGAAAAGTACCAGTTTTAGGCTATGTCAAGTAACAGGTGCTTAGTGTCATATTCTTTGTTTAGAGCAGGAGATGGGCTTTGATGGAATCAATGTAGAACATCTTAAATGATACATGAAACAAAACCTCCCTGCAAAGCTCACCAAGAAATCATGGCAGGCTGTGCAACCATTGCCACGCAGATGTCTTTGCAGACTTCTTTTTAATGAGGTGCTGGTAAAGGAAGCCCATGGGAGTGAAAATATACAGCTATTTGATGAAATATTCAGCTGCAGGTCAGCCAGATGAGTAAAGTAAGCTTTGGTACAGATCACAGAAGAAAAATCCAAGGGAAAAAACATCAGTTCATCCTAATTCTATTTTAGGAACACTGGGAGCTGCCTTATACCAAGCCAGCCCATTAGTGCATAGGATGTCTCTTTATAAATTGCCCCCAAATGAGGAAATGTGTGACAAAAAAAGGACAAATGAGGACACCACTTTCCATAAAATGCTTATATGCCAATTCTCATATATAAATACAAATTTAGAAATGATGGGTTGAATCCAACTACGTTATACTCAGTAAACTCACTGAAATTAATGAACCAAAATGAGTCATGTCTATTAACTTCAGTGGGCCTTCTCTGAGTAGGTGTACCATTGAGTGCAACCTGATTACTGTAATGTAAATAGACATAAAATACATCACCAGAGCAAGGAAGGCTATAACCAGGTGACCTGTGTGCCTATTTATTATCTTGTTGTTGTTTTATTATTTCCCCAGCCACTCTAGGAAGCTTCCAGCAGAATGTAAAAACATAATAAACTGTCAAACGTTAAAAACTTCCTGATACAGGGCTGCCTTCAGATGTCTTCTAAAAGTTGTATAGTTCTTTATCTGATAGGATGGCGTTCCACAGGGAAGGTGTTACTGCCAATAAGGCCTTCTGTCTGTTTCCCTGTAACTTCACTTCTTGCAGTGAGTGAACCACCAAAAGACCCTCGGAGGTAGACCTCAGAGTCAGTAGAAATGGGGATTTTCCCAACAGTGCAGCTGCAGGCATCTTTTGACCATCTTATCTGTGTTGCTGGGCAAACTAGCATGTAGTGCTGGGTAGATAAGGGCCCAAATTACAGTATTCATTGATGGGGAGCACAAGGGAATCTGTTAGAGATGTGGAGGTTGTTGGAATGATTCTGTGAAAACGTGGAAGCCTAAGGGAAGGGCTCGCCTAAGGGAAGTTGGACTCAGAGAATTCTAACGGGTGCAGGACTTTGTTAGCAACTGGTCTTTTTCCAGTTTTTTCTTTTGTATGCATACTAATAAATTGTGAGTAACTTTGGTAGATATTGGACTGTGATTTCTTCTCAGTATTTTGTTGGCATGCAATCTTACTAACACAGCAGTTTGTCTCTCTTTTCTTCTGCACAAAGTAGACAAAGTTGCATTAGCATGGAAAGTTGTCCGCAGTGGAACATATATCCCACCTGTGATCGCTGTCAGTTGGAAAGTTCTAATGAATATTTCATGGTCTATCACTATACAGTCAGTTCTGAGAATTGCAGAAAACATTAATTACAGGATTACAGGTACTAAAAAAAAAAAAAAAAAAAAAGGACACACAAAACAGGCGTCCGCGCCAGACTTTCATTCCACAGCAAAAAGGTCCTCAAGTGAGAAACGAAACAAAATACTATATGATGAAATAGGATGACAATGCTGTCAAATAGTGAACCCAGGTGCTAAGTGTCAACAGAAAAGGACCCAAAAATGGACTATTGAAGAAACAGAGGGTGGGGGGTCAGCATAACTGGGAAACTCCAGCTTTTGCAGAAGAGCAAACTTTTTTCCCTTCTTCTTTTTTGGAGAGGGGACAGAACTTAGGAGGGCCTACCTTCTCTCCAAAATAAAACAGCCCAATGAGGACTCAGCATGCTCAGTAATCATTAAATATTGCATATCAATTAAAAAAAGAAAACAGGGAGTGGCTTGCCCTGCTTGTGCCTTTATAATAATCTGGAGGAGGGTATGGCTGGCTGGCTGAGTTGGAAACCTGACCAGGAGAAGGGTTCCTGAGTATATACTGCAGTATTTTGTTGCAGATTCCACTTGTTTAATATAAAGCCAAACATGGTGAGGAGCAAGTTCTCCTTTCTCTGTAGTTTGATACCCAGACTGCCACAATCTACTAGTCCCTTTTGTGTGTGAGGGCTCCAAAGCGCTTCACTTCGCTACTCATCAGGGCTTCCCTTCTCCCTTCAACTGAAGAAGCCATTCACTGTGTACGCAAAAGGAACTGTTGTGTGGACCTGCCCTTCCACTAAAACAAATGGAGTTGCCTACGTATGATGATGATGCTCCATGGGCAGTGCTCACAATTCAGAAAGAATTCTTGACAGGCCAGTTACCTTACCCACTTTTGGTGGGCATGATTTGGCTAAAATTGGGTGGGGAAGTCGAGGGGCAGTTTGTCAATTTATACAACCTTGCTCCTTCCCTAAAATGAAGCACTCTTCTTGGGTGCTTGACAGTGTATAGGGCTCTTCCTGTTCACTAAACCCTGTTGCCCCTTCAGTATCCAGCATCTCTTCCCAAGCTTCCTCCTTAGTGTCCCCCCCCCCCCCCAGGTTATGAGCCTTCCTCCTCTGCGATCTCCCTTGGGGGTTCCCTGGCTGGTGCTTCCCACCACTCCTCATTGTCCAGCCAATCCTTGACATCAAGCTGGCGACAACAGCCCAATTAACCACCCCTGGCTTAGAGGCTCATTCCCCACTCTCATCCATCTGTCAGATAAGCTGACAAGCTGCCAGTGTGAGCAGCCTCCCCTCCCAACTAACTGAATGAAAATGAAGGCTTCAGAGCAATCAGATAAACATATATGAACTCGTTCCCACAGTAAATACAAATTAGTCCCAGGGCATTTACAGGCCTTCTGGGACATTTGCACCCTTTGGTTGTACACAGTAGTGGGCATTGATGTCCCACCTGACCGACTGAGATCAGTGTAAATTAAGTGTGTGCAGTGTCAATGTGTGAGGTCCGTGTACTTCTCTGGGCATGAGAATGTGGGAACACATTTCAGGGGCACTTTCCTTATTTCCTATGAGGTGTTACGGTGCAGATGAAGTGGGAATGAAGACGGTCCCATCCCTATGCACCCATAAGTGGAGATTTTTCAAAGTTTTTATGGTACATTGGACCAAGTACTTGGCCTTGAGATAGCAGAAGATGGAAATAAAATGTGCCATGTTTCTTTCAAAAGACTTCCATTACTACCTTAGGAACGCCAGACAAATTTGCTTTTCCTAGGCAACTGATGCACTTCTATCTTATTTTCTTCTTAGCCTACTGCTTTGAAAGCAGGGGAAATGATGATCCACCATGCATCCTTCTTACTGTTATATCCTCATAGTCACGGTTATCCAAAGGGGGCTTTGATGCTCAGAGGAAACAACACATCAGTACTTTACAGGGAAAGAGATTCAGTTTGGTTTGCATTTTAAAGAGAATATACATTTTGAGGCACCACAATATCACTTTCTTTTCAACTGACCTATTGATGCTTTTAATTGCATTTTGTGGGTATTTATATACTGTTTTGATTTGATTTTGTATGTTGTAAACTACCTTGATATACTTTATAGAAGTGCAGATTATATTTATTTAACTAAATCAGTATATAAATTTGCATCCCCCGTAACTTTACATAGCTATCCTTCCAAATTTGCATGTCACCAAATTTTGTGCTGCCACTCTCCAATGAAAATGTGCATATCCAGCAAAACAGCATAGAGAGATGTGTATATATTTGGAAAAATGCACACTAAAATGCTGATGAATTTTCATAAGGACTTAAAAAAAAAAAAAGAAAATTCCCCAAACTGCTCCAGAAATGCCCTGAACTGAATTTTCAATGGGGGGGGGGGAATCAGAAAGTGAGGGAAACCAAACCAGTTCATCCCTACCAACAACTCAGAACTGTAATTTTGTTTGCTGGGGAGGGAAGACTTGCAGAGGATAAGAGTATTTGGAAGCTGGTATGCATTGGCACAGCTGCAATTTCCCACTTGCAAAATATGCTAGACTGTTTGTATGGCAACAGCTTATAAATTATGGAAGAGGCATGTAGGCTGGTGGGAAGGGATGTGAGTGGCAGCGAGTGCTGAGCTATGGAAAATGTAATGTTTGTGACATCATTGTGGGAGTGAGAAGAAGATGGGTATGCGGGAGACGTGCTCTACTTCTTTGGTAAGTGTCGTTATTTTCTAGGAAAGGAGGAACCCTGAAAAACATGTTTGGCCAGGCTTGCCAAAGATGGTAATGAAACTGATCAAAATATCTTAGCTAGCCTGGGGATGTAAAGTCTTCCCGCAGGTGCAAAATCTGCTGCTTTCAATGAGCTTTTTTTCTTTTTTCTTTTGTAAGAAGCTTCACAAAACCTGCATTGCTCTGTCTTCTTTCATTTTGGGTTAACTGCATCGTTTCATTTTATTAAGAACATCATGTTTCATGATCGTGTTATATAAACAGCATTGCGAAGAAAGTCATCCAGCCTTATTATGGAAGTAAAACCAGGAGATAACTCTTGTGCATCTTGTACTGAGTCAGTCAGAAAATGTCGAGCAACTCAGTTTGATGTTTTGTATTTTAAAAAGCACACTCAAAAGCTTCAGGTCTGCTGTAGCTACTGTGATGTGTAACAACAGCCATGTACGGCATCTGAGATGCATGAAACCCATTGCTCCAACCTTGCCAGCCCTACTGCCCTGGGTCAGCAAAAGTCTTCAGGGTTGTCACGCAGAACTTCTGAGGAAATGCACACCATGTATCCCCCTCACCAAACCCATTATACTGACAGTGAATTCTTTCTCTGATTGTAGAGCCTTATATAACCAAAATAGCACCATCCATACACAAGAGGGCAGCTGTGCAGGGTGGGGTGGGGTCCAAAGTTCAAAAAACAATTTAGCAAAAAAAAAAACTCTTATGAGAGGAAGGCATTCCCCATAACAGCTCAATAAGGATGAAGCATATTCATGGCATGAGAACCAACTGTTATAGGGCAAGAGTGAGATGGAAAGTTGGGTGGGGTGAAGGAAATGCAATGAAACACCCTGGAAAATGCTGGTTGGAACCCCGAACAAGAGCTCTCTACAGTGAAATGTTTCGTTGCAGGTCACGTTTGTTCACCCTAAAGGCCTTTAGAGAAACCTGGTCCTCCTGGCACCCGATGCAACTTTCCACATAAAAATGCTGGTGAAGGGCATGAGGCATGGATCCTTATCCACCTGGACATCACAACTAACTAGCTGTTCATTTTATCCCAAAGGCAAGAGTCTACCACAATGATATATATCATCCAATCAGGTCTTACCATTCTCACCAGATGTCTTGTCTTTTCCATTTGTTGCTCCAGCACCTTGTCTCTGTGTAAAAGAGGAAAATAAAGGGGCGATTACATGTGGTCCAGATGCGGGGAACATTTTGGGACTGAGGGGCACATTACCCATATTAAAAATGGTCAACAGGGTGTGCTTCAGTGGGATGGGGCCAGAATCAAGCATCATAGGAGCCAACTCCTAGGAGCTGTGGGGGCTTCGTCCCCCACAATAAAATATTTGAGGCGGCTGGACCCCCGCAAAGTTGATGGGTATTGCCATTCAAATGGTGCACATGCATCACGTCATGTGTTCAATTATGCAGGGTGGGGCTTACCAGGGCCCCCACAATATTTTATTCAAGTTGGCTCCCTGCCAAGCGTTCACACAGTGTTCTTCACCACCACAGGGATACATTTAATTCTTAATCATTCTACTCATCAGGTTTCACCTTCCACTTTCTTCAGACCTCTAAAATCTTTTATCTATCATTGACTATGCAAAAGGCAAAGGTAATTCAGTGATTCCAGCAGAAGACTGTAAATGAAGTCAATGCACAACTGAACTGTAAATCCTGCATTGCAGCTATTTAAGCCCCCCAAAGTCAAAATGCAATTGCATCCTGAAAAGTGCATGCAAGTACAGTAGTTGCAAAAATGCACAGAGCACTTATTTCATATTTGCGAGAAATACAAGTCTGCTGAGACATTACATGACATTCATTGCTCTGGGAAGAAACACAAGGATTGAATTTACAAACAGCAAAGAAATCACAAGTTGTCAATCAAAGCTACATGGAGCTATTCAGAAGAAGAAGAATTTGTTCAGCAAATTTCGCATTATTTGACTTTCAAGCTCATCAGTTATTAGTTCTTTTGCTTAAACTTAGATGTCAACTGCATTTCAGGGTCTAAAATGCTATATCACTGGTGCAGCAGGAGGGTTCTATTTCAGAGCCAGCATGCTTTAGTGGTTAGTGTGCAGGACTTAGACCAGGAAGACCTGAGTTTAAATTCTCATTCAGATATGAAGCTCACTAGCTGACCTTGGACCACTCATGCTTTTGCGGCCTAATCTTCCTCACACATTATTGTGAGAATAAAAAGGGAAGAGTTGAGCTCCTTGGAGGCAAGGCAGAGTAAGAATATAGTTAATGCTACTAGCACCCTGGCAGAAGTTTTTGGCAAAACTTCCAGTTCGGCGATTACTTGCCTCTCACTTGAGTCTATATTTATGAAGCCATTGATCATGAGTATTATCATAAATTGCCTTTGAGCCTTTTGTGTACTCAAAGACCGATTGTGATTAATGGGTAAGAGAATGTTGTGGAGAGGTATTTTTAATACAAATATGAACTTTGTTGGCTAGTCACAGAATTACCTACAGCTCAGGACCGCAATAACTGAAGGACCGCCTCTCCCCATATGAACCAAACCCAGACTTTGTGACTATCTTCTGAGGGCCCCCTTTGTGTACCTCTTCTATGAGAGGTCCAGAGGGTGGCAGCACGAGAACAGGCCTTTTCTGCAGTGGCTCCCTATTTATAGAATGCTCTTCCCAGGGAGGTTCGTCTGGTGACTTCATTATACATCTTTAGGTCCCAGGCAAAACTGTTCCTCTTCAACCAGGCCTTTGGCTGATAAATAATCTATGGCCTTTTAAATGTATTTGTTTTGTTTTGTTTTTAACTATTCATTTTGTGCTTTTATCTTGTGAACTGCCTTGAGATCTTTGGATGAAGGGCAGTATATATATTTTATAAATCAATAAAATGATACCTTCCAAAGACAATGAAGTAGGAGTCAGTCCAACCCTCTTAAGTAATCTCTCCCACCCCCGGATTACTGTTGTGTGAGGGGGAGAGCTCTGATGAACCTGTTGGCCCTGCCCTGTCCATCATGTCCATGTTGCCCGTTTCATTGCCCTCTACAGGATGGGAAGGGGAGCTTCTGCAGTGACTAGCCTGATGTGCAATCATAGAATTGCAGAGGCAGAAGGGACCACAAGGGTCATCTAGTTCAACTGCCTGCAATGCTAGAATCTTTTGCCCATCATGGGGCTTGAACCCACAACCCTGAGATTAAGAGCCTCATGCTCTAACAGCTGAGTTCTTACTCATGTAGGCTTCCCATTTAATCCTGTCAGTACTATGATCTTCCAAGGTTCTAAAGATGATGCCATTGTGGTCTACTGAGGGAAAAGCTAAGAGTGATGACTTCATGCCACACATTCCCATGCCAATGTATAAGGAAAGAATAACAGGGAGAATCTTAGTGTCCCCAGTTTTAGTACTTATTGCTTTTCTTTAAGGGATTTCTACCTTTCCCTTCCTACAGGCTTTCAGGGTAGTTTAGCAAAAGTTAAATTAACAGTAAATGAAATGCAGACAACAACATTTGAACACCACAAGATATACAAAAAACAGTCTAAAATAAAATAAAATAATAAAATAAAATAAAATAAATTGCAAAGCTGCACAAAAGCAATTTGCAGAGGATTTAAAAGCTCAAGGGAGATGAAAGGTATTTATCTGGAGCCAGAATGATGTCAAGGTTGATGTCTGGTGAGCCCTCCTGAGGAGAGGATTTGCCCTGGGGAAAACTGGTGGTGATAGGCAAAAGACCACCTTCTGGGGAGGAGCTCTTGGAATATATTGGTCCTTTGCAGGGGGGTGAGCAAAGGTTTGGAGAATTCAGGCATCCCAAGCAAATCTGACATGGACCAGAGAACACTCACTTTCTCTTCTCTTTCATAAATGCTATACTGATGTGAGCTATTTTGGAGGAAATGTTTGGCTGAAAAGCTGGACAAAAATGTAATGTAACATAATATAGTATAATATAATAAATGCTACAGGGTACGCTAGAGTGGCACTATTTTCTCATTCTGCACATTTGACCGGTGGAATTCTTGCCAAAATGGTTGAATGCCAATAGTCCCAAGTGTATCATCCCCAAAGTTTTTCAGCAAACACTACCAGTATCCATCAGAGGACGAAGGTATAATTGTGTTCCAGTACCGCCAGCAGATGCGATATAAGAGCTGAAATGAGCATGAGTGGAGAACCGTAATGATTATACATTAAAGTGGATAAACAATTTTGTCGCTATGGAGCGTAGGAGGAAACACAGTTTATGACTGCTTGGGGCTATATAAATGTTTAAGTCAGTGGTTTTGCAGAACATCAAAGGCACATCATTAAAAGTGGCAGGGAAAACCAAACTCACTTTGAATTTGTCTTTATAGGGAAGGGAAAGAGGAATGAAAGCTACATGGCTGGTCAGACTACGCTAATAAAGCATATGTCATCTTTGTGCAACCCATACTTTTTGACACTGAGATGATGCAATCTTAAGGGTAGAAATCAAAATCAAAGGGCAATTCCTAGCCATATAGAATCCCCCTTTGCACCCTCATTTTCACCTTCATTCCTTTTTTCCCCATCCTCATTTTTCTCAAATCTCCCTTGCACACAGATCACACCCATTTCCATACTGTCTCCTGTCTCCTATTCTGCGGTCCTCTTTGCACACAAACACCATTATCACCTTCCTCCTTTTTCAACTCTCCCTTGCAGACAGACCACCCCCATTTCCATGCCTTTTCCTCTCTCTTATTCTGCAGCCTCCTTTGTGCGCCCACCCCATGATGATAGATGTTACTGTATCCTATTTATGAATAGACTCTTAAGAGCAAGCCTGTTAGCTTGGCTGAGTTGCAGAAGGTTAAGTTCAGTTGATGGCTATATAGTACATATATGGTATGTGAGTTTCCTTGTTAATAAAAAAAATCTGTTCAAAATTACTACATTGAATCTGGAACTTGATGTTGAAAATGGTGCATGATACCGCATCCTTTATTTCTCTTACATGAGGCAACTGATGAAAAGAAGAGGGGAAAGTTTAAGTACAGCAAGAAGGGAAGGACACGGGGGGGGGGGGGTGGCAGTTTTAAACAACAGAAGACATTCGAAGAAAGCAGAGCTAGGAATAGAGTGAATGTTTGCTTTAAAAACAAACCAGTTTTAACAAGGAAAAATAACAGAGATGGGTACAACACAGAACACCAAAAAGCTAACACAACAGAGCCTTTCCAAACTTCCTTCTCACTGCACTCAAGCCTTGTTTTAAACTGCCTCTCTTCCCGAGTGTCACTTCCTGCTTGCTCTACTCAAACATCTGCCATTCTTTAAAATCACCTCTTTGTCCTATCTATATCTCCCCTGCTTCTGCCGTTGTTGTTTTTTTTTCAGTGTCTACCCCTTCTCACTGTACTCAGACTTCTCCCTCCTCCATTCCTTAGCTATGGTACTTCGTGTGAGAGAGATAACAGATGTGGTGCCCTCAAATATTCCATAGTACTTTACTCAAAGCTCTGTTGTTGTTTAAGACACCCATTTCCTCTCAGTTTCCTCCCTCCCTGCTTTTGCTCAAAATTCTGTTGTTGTTTTAAACCATCACTTTTCGCTTCTCAACATCTCTCCTTCTCACACCCATGTCATGACCACTGCTGTTGCACAACCCGCCTTCACTTTTGCTCCCCTTCCCCTCTATGACTTCATGCAAATCCCACATTGTAAAGTGGCACTTCACATGCCAGTGGGAGCTATGCAATGACATTCTTGCATTTTTATTCTATAGAGAGAAATAGCCATTCCAAGCAGTGGTGGAGCAAGCTGATTGGGAGCCTGAGGTGGCGTGCGTGCCAGCCGCCCGTGGGGGCGGGGCCAGACTCCCACAAGGCGGGGCCAGCCGGGGCAGGACATTCCACAGGGCCTCCGAGGAGTCTGCCTGCCTCCTCCCACTCTGCCGCCCTACAGCTGTGGGGGAGGTGGCAGGAGGACCGTTTGGAGCAGTGCAGAGCCTGCGGGCACCGAAACCACCACGTCACTCCCAGGAGAGAGACATGGCTTGGGCATGCTGCAGGCCCCGCAGTGAGTGCTGCCTGGCATTTTGTCACCCCCCCCCCAGTGGTGACACCCAGGGCAGTCCACCCCCACTGCATCCCCCTTCCTCTGCCCCTGATTCCAAGCAGGGATCACTATGACAAACTCTGTTATCATTTCTAACTTTTCTTATTCTGTGCCATTTAAGCATGTATTGAATTCATAATAAAATCCCAACTGAGTTCAAGTGATTATTGGAGTTGTAGGTTTGAAGGTCACCAGGCTGAAGAAGGGTCTACAATGACACTGGCTTGCCAAGGTTTCAGAAAAGAATCCTTACCAGACCTACTTGGAGATGCAAGGGACTGAATCTAGGATTTTGTACATGCAAAGCATGTGCTCTAACACTGAGCTGCAGCTCCTGTTCATTTAATGGATGTCAATAATGACAATTATTAGTCAGATCAAACTGATATAGAAGCATTAGGAGCACTTGCAAATATCAAGGGAAATGGATTCAATGTGTAATCATCTCTCTGTAAACTTAATTCTTTAAGGTTGTATTCTTCTGATTATAAATCTCTTGTAAGTTTAGAAAAAGATTCTCTGTGTGTGTGTGTGTGTGCGTGTGCGGGAGGAATGGACTGATCCAGACTGCATTATTTAAAAGGGAACCACTCTTGTTTGGTATTGATTTTTATTCTGTTCTAAAACTGCTAGTTGTTGTCCATACATTATGAGAATCTAGATACAGATTAAACAATTTTCAGCCAATAGAGAGAGTAGGCATTGGACAGCATGCAAATGTGCCTTTTAGAAAAAGTTGGGGTTGTTCTCCATTGTCTCCCACCCTTTTACACCACCACCAAGTTTTCTGGAGAAAAAGAATAGAAAACCCCATTTTAGGAAACAATCCTGTACTGAAGATACACCTGCCAAGGGGTATAGGGCTTAGTGGAAGCCTCATAAGACCAAATAACCACTGCCTCAAACAGTGGAGAAAAAACATGGCCATCCTGGCTAGGAGTCACTGACAGCCTTATCCTGAAACAGCAGAAAAGCCCTGCTATAGTGTAATTTGATTCTGTTCACATTTTAACGCAAAGTTTCCTAATTTCCACTTCCTGAAACAAACATGCAAACTGAGACACAGCTATCTTTCAAAATATGCGCTTCTCCAATTATGTGATAAGAGTTCTCCAGCCAAAAACCTTGTAGAAAAATGCATATATTAGATGAAAGTATGCATTAAAATGCATACATCAGTGAAAACAGCAAGGGAAATGCATTCTATTTAGGGTGCTTGCAAAATTCTGCATATTAGACAAAATTGCATTAAAAAGATGTATACTAGGGGGAAAGCATACTAAAATGCTGGTGTGTTTTCATGCAATTGCAACCAGCTATAGAAATGAGAAGAGAAACTGAAATTGACAGATTCATCCATCCCTATGCACACTTCCATTGCTGCATCTGGTACAAGCTGTGCTTCTTTCAGCCTAAACCACAGAGATTGTTTTAAAAATTATCCACTTAGTTTGAAGTGGCCATATTGGGTAATACAAGTATGTCATCCTTAATTTATTTTTACATTTAATTCAATTACAATTAACTATTTTTGGAGCCCTCTGATAAACCAGGACAAACGAGTTACATTTGCAAGGCTTTGAGATCAACTTCTATAAATGGTAACCTTTAAAATAGTTAGGAGTAAATGGCTAATATTCCTCTTTTTTGTGGGCATTTGCTGAGGGTAGTTTATTCCTGCACAACCTTGCAAAACAAAAAACAGAAAAACCCTCTAGTTAGCTTCAAAATCAAGATATATTTCCCCCCAAAGGTGGATTTTTACACTAAAATCAAATGTGAGCTGCATGAGTCACACCAACTCTACACGCTTTAATATACGTTGTATTAGCAAATCTTGAACTAGACATATTCTTTGGCAGATATTTCTTCAAGGATATTGTAATCAGAAATATTTCTGGTGTGGGAATTAACACGATGTTTGAAATTCATTTTGAAAGCAGCTGCAAAGAATGTAAAATTCTGTTACTGTGAAGACTTTAAAGCAGTAATCCTTTGATTCTCTTCCTCCCTGATGGAGTGTGGTTTTGATTTTTAAACATTTATCTACACGTGTAACCTTTACCAAACATGAGTAATTCCATGTGCTTCAATGGGATAGCAGTATTAGTAATGCTTGCATTATCAGAGTCTTGGTTTTATGTACATTTCTGTAAATAGCATATTCATCTGCATCAAAGTGTGGCTAGCTTCTCCTTTCCTTCTCCACAAAGCTGATGGCTGATTAAGCTTACCCATTTTTAATAACGGAAGGTGTAGTTTCTATCCTAAATGAAGTGGGAAAGAACAACAAGACAAATGCTCTAAAGGGACTTATAACGTTGTTTGATCTAAACAGGGAATGGCCAGATTTTAAAAAACTATTCCCAGTCCTCTTCCTTTATTCTGTTTACTTGAGCCCTGTTCATGTGGGTTTTTTGCACATAGGGAACTCACACAAAGCCATTGGCCCTGCCCTCAATGCCACATGGCCATGCTGCTGGCTCCACACCCAGTGTCATGTGATCAATCTAGCCTTGGCTTCCCATGTCCACACTGCAAGTGCAGATGTCCCTGTGCATGAGCAGCAGGAGTTTCACATGATTAGGAACCAGCCATACCGCAACCACCTCAATCATGTAGCGGTTCTTCAGATGTCCATGACATACAATATCAGGTGTGTGGATGTGTGGAGGTTGGGGACAGGAGCAGTGCCTTAAACCATGAAATACACCTCCCCTCCATAAGGTAAGTGAGTTGAAGGCAACAGGAGTACTTATACTGCATCAGGAAAAGCCAAGTATGGATCATTATATGCTACTTATAACTGGCAAGGTTCTTTGTAGTTTCTCTTGTTTGGCTTTCTTAGGTAGGTCCACTCTGTTCACAAGATACAGGCAGGCAGCTGATAAGAAATGCTTATGCAAAACCACGCTGGAGCTATCAAAGGAAGGCAGCTGGTACAGATGGCATGCCTCAGGAGTTTGGGGGGTGGGAGGTGGGGAAGGGATGGTACTTGGAAGGAAAGAAAGTTTTCAACAACAGGGGAGATTTGAACTTGCCTGAAAACAGAGAGGAAAGAGAGAGATTACAAGAAAATTTAATTTTACAGGAAGCACATCCAGCTGTAATTTTGTTAAAGGCTGCCTTCAAGGAACAGCACAATTATTAATGGCCAAAGCTTGCCCCAACAAATCGCTTCATATTTGAACATATTGATCCCACCATTATTAAAACAGACTTTATCTGCTCTGAAGACTGAAATATGATTACCTGACGCAGCAGCCTTCCCCGACTTAGTGATCGCCAAATGCTGTTGGGCTCCAGCAATCATCAGCCCCAGCCACTGTGATGGGAATTGTAGTCTAACAATATATGGAGGGAACCAAGTTGTGGAAGGCTGCCTTGCAGAGCTCCTTCTATAAGGAATATTTTTGTTGCTTTGCATTTGTGCCACGATCTAAAACAGTTTTATCTCATGATTTTCCCTGAGTACTAGGAGTTTCCAAAGAAATTGCTTTCGGAAGATTACATTTGGAAGCAGCAATGTGACTCGTTCAGCCACATCGATGGGCATTAGCTTTGAAAAGTCATAACTTTACACCATTTTGTTTCTTCATAAGCCCTCAGGATCTGCCATCCAAGACACACAGAAATTCTAAGTGGAAGAAGCTGAAAAGCTGGCCACATGCCATGTCTGTTACTGCCTGACTGCCAGTGCAGCCAAAGGAACATCTTATTTGCCTCAGGACTTCAGCAAGCTACACTGAGCTCTGATGGATTATTGCCATCCATCAGATACTTCAGGAAAGCAAGCGCATGTCAGCCATGTTCCCTTTCCCTTTGGCAATGCTTCATGCGCAAAAGGCTGCTGAAGGAGATGGTGTACAACAAGCACGACTGGCCCTTATGGCACCAGAAAAATCCTTATGTAAGGGAACTCCACAGAGAAGGATTGCAGCTGGCTTTCAACCTGCCTTGTGCTAATGTGTGGAGATAAAAGGGGCTGTAATTTCCCAGAGAATTTGGCTTGTTTTGTCCAATCTTGGGAGTACTGAGAACCTTTATATACAGCTGTGCCAGAATGAGACACAGAGGTACCTCAGGGTTAAGTACTTAATTTGTTCCGGAGGTCCGTTCTTAACCTGAAGCTGTTCTTAACCTGAAGCACCACTTTAGCTAATGGGGCCTCCTGCTGCTGCCGCGCCACCGGCACGATTTCTGTTCTCATCCTGAAGCAAAGTTCTTAACCTGAAGCACTATTTCAGGGTTAGCAGAGTCTGTAACCTGAAGCGTATGTGTGATGGGATGATGAGCTGCTTGTGCGTAAAATAGTATCCCCTCAGAGTTTGTTCAAGTCCACAAACCTCTGTCTGTGACGGAGCCCCTCAGACATGGCTGCTCTAGTCACTAGTAGATTCCGACAGTGGTTGCTTTCGTAATCGCTTCCAACATAAAAGCTCCTTAACGGAAACACGTCTTCTGGAATCTCTGCGTGACAGTTTCCGGCGAGGAGTGGGTGTTCTTACAGGAGGTTCTGAAACCTCCCCACTGTTTTCGCTGGAAGTGTCTCTGAGCCATCCCTCCAGCTCAGCTCCTCTTCCCCTGCTGGTTCCTTCTTCAGCTGCTGCGTCTCTCCCAACCTGTGTGAGCCCTTTCACCTCCCTGTTGGTTCCCTCTTCAGCTGCTGCGTCTCTCCCAACCTGTGTGAGCCCTTTCACCTCCCTTCCGTCCGATGGCAGTTCCCTGACATCCACCTCCCCTCCAGGGCCCCCTTCAGCGCCTCTCGCCCCCTCCTCTACGGGCGGTGAGGAGGCAAAACCCGGAATGAACTTCCTTCATCTTCCGATGTCTCGAACACTTCTCTCAACCTGTTGCGGTTCCTGGTCTCGAAGTACACCTCCTCCTCAGAGTCTATCTCCCCTTCCCCTTCCGAGTCCGGGAACCCTTCCAACTCCTCCCCTTCATCAGTGGTCCCAAAGTATTCCCTCCGGAACCTCTCCACAGGCTGAGGTTTCCTTGGGAACCTTTGATGGAACGTTTCTATCAATACCTCGTCATTGATATCTTCAGCCATTACCCAAGTGTTTTCTGACTCCGGTTCTCCTTCCCACGCTACCAAATACTCCACCTGATCCCCCTTCCACCTGGCGTCGAGGATTTCAGCCACATGGCTGCTGCATTCTCTTTCTTCTACGACCGGTCCCCGAGTGGCCAGCCCTTCTCGTCCCCCTTCGTACGGTGACAGTAACGACCTGTGAAATACTGGGTGCAGTTTCATGTGGTTGGGTAACCGGAGCCTGAAAGCCACTGGGTTGACCTGTTGAATGACCTCAAAGGGACCCAACCTCCTGGGTCTTAATTTCTTACAACCTCCTTTGAACGGCAACCCTTGGGTTGACAGCCACACCCTATCTCCCACCCTTATGGTTTCACCTTCCCTTCGGTTCTTGTCTGCCTGCCTCTTGTATTCTTCCTTCGCCCTTTCTAAGTTGAGTTGGAGCTGACGATGGATTGCTTCCATTTCTTCCACAAAATGTTCGGCTGCCGGGACGCTCCATCTCTCCCCTCTCCCCTGGGAAAGCCCTGGGATGACACCCATAATTAGCCAAGAAGGGGCTCATCCCTGTGGACACATTCTCGGCATTGTTGTAGGCAAATTCCGCCAGCGCCAACTTTTCTACCCAGTCATTCTCTCTGTCATTGACATAACACCTCAGGTATTGCTGGAGGACACCGTTTGCTCTTTCCGCCTGCCCGTTGGTTTCAGGGTGCCGGGCAGTCGAAAAATTGACCTCCACCTGCAGTAAGCTCATGAGCTTCCTCCAGAACCTGGAAGTAAATTGTTTTCCTCGGTCTGAGACCACCCTCAATGGCACCCCGTGCAACCTAAAAATGTTTTCTACAAATAACTTCGCTGTCTCTTCCGCCGTGACTGCATGCGAGCAAGCTACAAAGTGGCACATCTTTGTTAGTAGGTCTACCACCACCATGATGGCTGTTTTCCCTTTGGACTTCGGCAGATCAGTCATAAAATCTATCGACACTGCCTCCCAAGGTCGTTCTGGGGTTGGTAAGGGTTCTAATAGCCCCGCCGGCGCCCGCCTTTCCCCTTTGGCTCGCTGGCATTGCTCGCACCCTCTTACATACTCACGTACATCTTCCCTCACCTTAGGCCACCAAAATTCCCTGGTGACCAACCACATGGTTCTGTGTTGTCCAAAATGCCCCGCCGTAGGGCTGTCGTGCAACTGCTTGAGTACCCTCCCCCCTTAACTCTCCTTCAGGGATATACAGTGCCCCTTTGTAATACAAAGCTCCATTTCTTTCCTCGAAACCCCTGGTTCCTCTCCATCACCCCTAAGACCTCTGAGCTTATTCTGGGCGTATTCATCATTCTCTGTTTCCTCTACCAGTTCTCTTTGTCCCACCAATGCCGCCCCACACACCCAGCGGTTTTCTGGAATGACATGTCTCTCTTCGGTGCCCCTCCCCCTCCAAATATTCAGGTTTGCGTGAGAGAGCGTCCGCCCTAATGTTCTCTGTGCCTGGCACGTAACTAATCTCAAAGTTAAATTTGGAGAACTCCTGGGCCCATCTCACTTGCCGTTGGTTGAGCACTCGTGCCGTCCTCCAATACTCTAGGTTCTTGTGGTCGGTGCACACTTGCACCTTATGTTGTGCGCCAATTAGCAGGTGCCTCCATCTCCGGAACGCCTCATAAATGGCTAGTAGTTCTCGGTCATACACCGTGTAGTTCCTCTCGGATTTGTTCAGCTTTCGCGAAAAAAGGCACACGGTCTCCACTCTGACCCCTTCTTGCCTGGCTGCAGAAGCACCGCCCCAATCGCTCTGTCTGATGCGTCAGTTTCCACTCTCATCGGTTTTTGTAAATCCACATGCAGGAGTTGTTGTTCCGAGGCGAAGGCCCTTTTAGTTCCTCAAATGCTCGCTCCGCCTCCTCAGTCCACACGAACTTCTTCTTACTGCTGAGACAGTCCGTAATGGGCGCCGTCAGGTGGGCAAAGTTTCGGATGAACTTACGATAGAAGTTCCCAAATCCTAGGAACCTCTGCACATCCTTCTTTGTTTTGGGTGTTTTCCATTCCAGTACCGCCTGGACCTTGCCGGGATCCATGGCCAATCCCTTGTCTGACAGGCGATACCCCAGGAATTCCACCTCCTTGGTATGAAACTGACACTTCTCCAGTTTCACCCACAGCTGGTTGGCTTGCAGCCTGCTCAACACTTCTCTGACGTCCCTCACATGCTGCTCCTCATTCTCAGAATACACCAACACGTCGTCTAAAAAGGCCACACAATTCTTGTAAAGCAAAGGCCCCAGGACGTGGTTCATAAACGATTGAAATGTTGCGGAGCCTGCTTGTAGGCCGAAGGGCATAACCAAATATTCAAATGCCCCTAAAGGGGTGAACATAGTGGTTTTCCATTCATCCCCCTTCCTTATTCGTACCAGGTTGTACGCCCCCCTTAGGTCCAGCTTTGTAAAAATCTTTCCCTTCCGCACCCTTGTCAAAATGTCGTCAATCCTGGGCATAGGGAAGGCTACTGGTTCTGACACTGCATTTAAGGCCCTGAAGTCACACACCAGCCTCGGCTTGTTCGTGTTTTTCTTATCCACAAAAACACTGGGCTGCCCCCACCGCCCTGGACTCTCTGATGAACCCTCTCTTCAGGTTCTTGTCAATGAACTCTCTTAACTCCTGCATCTCTCTGTCTGACATGGCGTACAGCTTGCCTACAGGGAGCTGTGCTCCAGGGAGTAAGTTGATTTGACAGTCAAAGGGTCTATGCGGGGTAGTTGGTCAGCTTCCCTTTCGCTGAAGACGTCACGGAGATCTGCATATTGTCGTGGTACCTCCACGTTCTCTGTTACTTCAGTCCATGCTAGGTGGCTTGGACCCCTGCCAAACCCTTTCCCTCTTTGCAGTGTTCTAAGCAATGTGCTGAACCAAAAGAAACCACTCTCTGATGCCAGCCCACCAGCGGATCATGTAACGCTAGCCAGCTCATCCCCAATATAATGGGAGCTCCTCCCAAGGTGGCCACATTAAAAGCTATCAGTTCGGTGTGCCTTGCTACCTTCATTATCATTGGGACGGTCTGCAAGCTGACTTCTCCACCCAACAGCTCCCTGCCATCGATCGTGGTAACCTGCAGGGGCTGCTTAAAGGGATTGTCTGTATCTGGTGTTCAGCTGCAAACTCTTTGCTCATGAAATTGCAGGAGCTGCCTGAGTCCAACAGCGCCTTTATCTTTAGAGGGTGTCCGTTTGGCAGCTCTAGCGTCACTTCTATCACTAGGGCGGGTTTAGGAGGTTCTGGCGTGGGCACTCTCACTGCTCTTTGGCCTGGCTGCTGTGCCCTGACAGTGGCAGCCAGGCGTTGGCTTTTACTTGCTCCGGTATTTTTTCCTCTCTTCCATCCACAGCTCCTACCATCCCTTGCCATTCTTTCCTCTGGGGGCAGACTCTGGCAAAGTGACCTGGCTGTTGGCAGAGATAGCATTTCCGGGCGCCTTTTCCCTCCTTCTTTGCCCCCTCACTGGGCTTTGAAACTGCGCGCGCGCGCTGTTCCGATTTCCATCGGCTCTGCCGGTGGGAAAGTTGGCTCTGGAATGTCTGGAATGCGGAACTCCTTCCAACGTTCCCCTTTCCCTTCCCGCCTCTCCAATGCTCTCGCCTCCTGGCGCGCTCCTATGGCCAGCGCTGATTTGGTCAGCTGGTCCATAGACTCCGCCCTGGGCGCCCGGGAAAGTTCGTCTTTCACAGCCGAAGAAAGCCCTTCTTCAAAGAGCATTTGAATGGGTTCCGCCGATAAGTCCCACCCCAATCTGTGAACAAGCATGGTGAACTCAGTCCAGTACTCACGGACAGATCGGCTCCCCTGTTTGCAACCCATTAACTGTCTGCGCACCACTCCCTTTTCAATATCGCTGGAAAACATCAGATCCATGGCGCGAAAGAACTTCATCGTGTCCTTTAAGACGTCACTATTCGCTGCCATCAGGGGTCTAACCCAGTCTCTCGCCCCCTTTTCAAGATGCTCAATCACGAAAGCCACTCGTGATTCCTCGTCAGGAATTCATCAAACTGCAGATTGAGGGCATATTGCATTTCTGTCCGAAAACCATGATAGTTTTTGGGCTCCCCCCCAAACTTCTGCACCAATCCTGGTACCTTTCTGGCGAACTGGGTGGCTTTCCCCCTTTGTCTGCATCCTGAGCCCTCCTCTCCTCAAGCCTCGCCGTCTGCATCGCTAGCTGGACCTCCAACATCTGGTACCTTTCTTCCAGGCTTGGACCCGCTCCAGCTCCTGCTTCTCCGGTTGCGGCTGGGTTGCTCATGATGCCTTCTCCTGCACAAGCTGCTTTCAAAGACTGTCGGAATGCTGTGATGGGATGATGAGCTGCTTGTGCGTAAAATAGTATCCCCTCAGAGTTTGTTCAAGTCCACAAACCTCTGTCTGTGACGGAGCCCCTCAGACATGGCTGCTCTAGTCACTAGTAGATTCCGACAGTGGTTGCTTTCGTAATCGCTTCCAACATAAAAGCTCCTTAACGGAAACACGTCTTCTGGAATCTCTGCGTGACAGTTTCCGGCGAGGAGTGGGTGTTCTTACAGGAGGTTCTGAAACCTCCCCACTGTTTTCGCTGGAAGTGTCTCTGAGCCATCCCTCCAGCTCAGCTCCTCTCCCCTGCTGGTTCCTTCTTCAGCTGCTGCGTCTCTCCCAACCTGTGTGAGCCCTTTCACCTCCCTGTTGGTTCCCTCTTCAGCTGCTGTGTCTCTCCCAACCTGTGTGAGCCCTTTCACCTCCCTTCCGTCCGATGGCAGTTCCCTGACAGTATGCAACCTGAAGTATATGTAACCTGAGGTCTTGCACTATCTCCCTGTCCTTGTCTATGGACCAGTATTTAAAGTTGCCAACTGTTGTGCGCATGTGCAAATATTGCAAAAGTGAGGCAACAGAAGCAGGTGAGAACTGTACCTCTGTGAGGGGTAACCCATAATTCTTTGAGGGAAAGAATGCATTGTCCCTTGCATCTCCAAGTAGGTCTGGTAAGTATTCTTTTCTGAAACCTTGGCAAGCCAGTGTCATTGTAGACTCTTTCATACACACTGCACTTGCTTGCTGACTGGTCAAATTAAAGCTACAGTATTTTACTTTTGCGCCTCTAGTCATCTGCATGTGCACACCACAGCCAGGGGCAAAGCTACCTGCTCCGGCACCAGGAGTAGCGTACATCCAGGGGCGTGGCTGGTGCGTGTCCCAGGGGGTGTGGCCTGCTGCCCACAGGGGCGTGGTGCACGTGGGGGGTGCACGGCAAGCAGCACGCATCCCAGGGCATGCGTGACGAGCTACGAGCATCCTGGAGGTGGGGGCAGGAGCGGCTGTGATGTCACCCCCCCCATGGCACCCGGGGCGGACTTCCCCTCTGCCCCCACCTTCATCCGGCAGTGACCACAGCAATAAGAACACATCAAAGGCCAAACTTTAGCAACCAAGTGGCGGTCAATGCACTGTTGAATCGTGCTTTTTGCATGCCATTACAAACAATCATAATGGCTCAGCACCAGCCTTTGGTGCCAGATTCCTTCCTTCTCATTCGCAAGCTTGTGAGGAGGGAAAATAGCACCCAGAGGAAGCAAGGACCGTTTTCTAAACTACTTTTCACTATCCAGAACAAAGTCTTCTGAGCATGCTCCATGTTTGCATTCCCCATTTGAACTCTTGAGAATTCCACAGTTGTTTTTATTCTTCCTTATTTAAACTACACTTCCCAGACCTCCCAGCAACAATGCAAGTTCTAAGCATACTCATAAGACACAGGGAGAGTAGTCTGCTTTTGCAAGCCCCTCCCTGCTGCTGTATTCCCCTCACCCCAAGTCTTGGTAAGCTTATGAAAGTGGGAGAGAAAGGAAAGTATAAAACGAAAGAACAGGTGACAGTGCAGGATCTTCGCAGGGTGGGTCTTTCTGAGAATTACGGAACTCTTGGAAGAAGCCCAGTTTTTCTGAGACTCCACAATATGCACATTACAGAAAGCAATTCCATATTTGAAAGACTATCAGCAAACAGTACTCTAGTTGAAGAACTCTTCCATTTGAACATTTGTCTAGTCCAAGTCCAATTCAAAGATAAGTAGCAGCCTTGTACCTGGCGTTGCTCAGGAATTCCAATAAACCAAAAAATCAGTGTTGTTTTGAAAATCAATGGTTAAAATCAGTGAATTTTAATTCAGAATTTTGATTCGAAATGGCATCCAATTGTATCCAGACATAATCGAAACCTGATCCTTGATCTCAGGAACCATTGTGCAAAATTTGGCTATGATATCTTAGGAGGTCCAAATACATAGCAAACAAGTTTCCAAAATATATAGTAGACGAATAATTAGAATAGCCCGGAGATTTCCCATCAACAATAAGTATCTAACTAAGCAGGAGCAAAGGTCATCTGTTCACAGTCTCCCCGATTGTGGTGTGATGTATTGTATATCCATTTAAATTATAGCTATATTTCTAAATTTGCATCTATGTTAGTATATACAAATGTTATGCAAATCTGGATCTTTTTTGATGGTATGTACATGGCCACTATACTTATCCAAGAAAGGCTCAGAAAGATCTCACCCTGTTCCTAACTGAGATGGATGGGTTTCATCCATCAAAACCCAAAATTACTTCCTTAGGCATTTTCCGGCAAGTAGCAAGAGTCTTCATCCTGCCTATGGCAGCAGTTTCACATGACTGTATGACTAAGGGCAGCAGGAATACCAACCCGGAATTCAGTAGGAGCGGAGCAAAGGAGATCTCAGCTGAACAATAAGGTCCAAGGTTAATGGATACTTTCCAGGTAAGTGTATGTGTGTGTGTGCAATGAATTCTTTCTGCGGTTATTTTTATGTACCTTGTGACAATGATAAGGGAGTTATCAGCACAGGAGAATCACTCCCTTTCCCCAAACAGGTGTGCACCTCTTACATGCTTATTGAGTACATAAACCAATTGAATGGTTTAGAACAACAGGGGGCAGTATAGTGGTGACCTTTGTGCAAATGTCCCCTTGAAATTCTCCACCCTATTTGTGAGCAGAGAAACTGAGAGGAAGGGACTTTAATGAATTTCTTGGGTGGGTGGGGTCTTCTAAAAAAAATGGGAGGACAGCAACTCACCGTTGGCAGTGGCAATAGCAATAGCACAACTGCATTTCCCCCTCAACCCACAAGGTAGTGTTTTGTTTTTGCTGCTGCTCCAGAGACAATGATAGAGAATTTAGGAGAAATCCTGCAAAGTGCCTTCTTTGTGGGGGGCAGGGGGGAGCTGCGATGAGAAAGTAAAAAATGTGAGCAATTTTCTCAGAATTTACCATGTGGCATCGAATCTAATGCACACCTCAGTTTTCAGAACCTTGAAACCAAAAAAAGTATTTGCTGGCGAATGTAAATGTGCCATCGAATCTAATGCAAACCTCAATTTTCACAATGCAATTTGGCATTAAAGGTAAAGGGACCCCTAACCATAGGTCCAGTCACGGACCAACTCTGGGGTTGCAGCGCTCATCTTGCTTTATTGGCTGAGGGAGCCGCCGTACAGCTTCCGGGTCATGTGGCCAGCATAACTAAGCCGCTTCTGGCAAACCAGAGCACTGCACGGAAACACCGTTTACCTTCCCGCTGGAGCGGTACCTATTTATCTACTTGCACTTTGATGTGCTTTCGAACTGCTAGGTTGGCAGGAGCAGGGACCAAGCAACGGGAGATTCGAACTGCCGACCATCTGATTGGCAAGTCCTAGGCTCTGTGGTTTAACCCACAGCGCCACCCACGTCCCAGAATTTGGCATTAGATTCAAGTAAATATGGTACTTTCTGGCTTAGTTGTACCAGAGACAAAACTGGTGTTCATACAACACTCGTCACACATTCAGTGAACATGTGAGGTGGGAAGGGAAACCCTGTGTCCTGGCCAGGCCTTACCCACCTTGATGCAACTTTTGATGTGCCCTGGGTGGCCAAACATTCAGCATTAGTAAGAAAGGGGCCCTATGTACAGCAGATTCTTCTGTATGTGTATAGCATTCCTCTACCTGACTGGGAATTTAAGCTAATCACAGTTGTTCAGATATACAAGTTAGTTAAAGAGGTACAGAGTTGCAATAATGCCAAATATGTAGCTGCTGGAGAGAGCACGATCAGATGTCACAGCGGTACAAGAAGGGCATGCCCAGGAAATGTGTTCTCACTGCCCTCTCACATATTCATTGAACACAAAAAGGGGTGCTATGGATGCTCCTGAGGAATATTCAGATGTGGTTTGAAACATAGGAGGCCAATACACTTCATTAAATGGTTCTGGGTATTTGAATGGCATTATTCTCCATTCTAACACTTAAAAACTTTGTGGTGGTGTTGCGCATGAAAATGATCTCATTTTCTAAGTTTGATGAGAATATTATTTTGATAGTGAATCTTTTGCCATGAGTCATTTATTAACAGTTATAATGACCAGGCAATGAAGGAAACTGAATGTTTTATTTCAAATTTACGGAGTATAACTAGCTGAGCAAGCGAGAATAAGCTCACCTGCTTTACATTCCATTTATAGGCTTGCTTGTTTGTGAGGAAATAACTGGATTGAGTAATCAAATATCTCCATGAAATTTGGTAAACACATTCAGGACACGATTCTACATTTTAGGTTCAAGTGCAAATTCACCTGCCCTCCCAATACCTATTTTCAGAGAAAAGGAAATTACAAATTGTATCACACTGAAAATGTGTTTGCATGGATCTACCTCAATTAAGGTTAGTGTACAGAATACTGTGCTTAACATCTACTCTTGTTTTCAAGGAGAGGGGGAAAGCCGCAAAGCACCCTGCAAGGTGAGATCTCCTGTGGACACCGGGCTATCTGAATATAAGTTCCTATGTATGCCCACCATAATTTTCCATTTAAAATTGGAATGCTAGCTTGACCCCTGCACCTCTTTTTAAAGGGAGTGTGAAAGATGCAAAATACATTGTAGTGGGATTACCTGGGACATCTCCGAGCATTGTGTTTTTACTAGTAAAGATCTTCAGTAAATAAGATGGAATGTGCTGTAGTCACTCATGCAATTAGGGGATGGAAATGTGTATATAGTTATCTTTAAAAGCACATTCCATCAGTCTCACCAGCCCAGAGCTGAAGAGCAACGAATCCTTACTCTGTCCTGAAGGGGAGCGTGGGCAAAGTGACACATTTAAGACATCATTTGCCCTCTCTCTTTCAAATGACAGGGCACCACCCATCTAATAAAGGGATGTCAGTTCAAATTATTAAGTGATCTGTCTTTGCCTTCCTTCCCCCCACACCCACCTTTTGCCAGCTGAGGAATTCGTTCCTCATCAAGTTGCATAAATATCTTGCTCTCTCCTCAATCTAGCTGTACATCCCTTGTTGTAAAGAGCTGGGCAGTTTTGGGGTGAAAGAGGGACCATCTCCTGGAGTGATTTCCTCCGGTATTTCAGTCCCCATAATCCCTTCTGGGACTGGTGCATCATACAATTGAATGGGCAGCTTATTTAATTTTAAGACACATGGGTTACTTTTGCTTTGTATTTCAGGGGTGGTAGTTGCTATATGTTGTCACTAGATCCCAGACATCCATCTCCATCCATCTGTCTGTATGTCTGTCTATCTATCTATCTATCTATCTATCTATCCATCCATCCTAGGTAACTGGGGCTGCTCACATTATTTATTGTTTATTAAATTGATTGGACTTGTCACAGGCAACTCACAGTATGTTTACAAAAAAATGTGGACACCAAAGGGGAAGCGGCAGTGTGTTTGAAGGTGTGTGATGTTGGGGTCAACAGTGGCTTCCCACTCCATTGTGCCAGTGGTTTCCCTATACATTAGCACTGTATGAAAAGGGCTTGCGTCTCATTGGTTACCACAAGAAGATGCCCCACATTTTAACTGCATTATACTCACATATACTTATATTAATACAAAGCCTGAAATTAATACTTTTGCCCTAACTTTTCCCAAATAAAACTTAGGGCAATGTGCATTGTCTCCCACAATTTATGCACATAGCACTGTAAGGTAGGAACTTAGGCACATCGGAAGAGCCCTACTGGATTTGGTCAAGGACCCAACTAGTCGAGGACCCAGTTCCTACAGTGGCCAATCACATGTCTCTGGCAAACCTGCAAGCTAGGTTAATGCAAGAGTTAAGCTGTGCCCAGAGGCTGCCTCCACGCAAAAATTAAATATATGGAGAGGAAGCAGGACTGACCCCACCATCACGCTCAAGACTGAAAGGGATGCCTACCTGCCTACAGGTCTATACACAAAGCTGAGCTACGTGATTTGGAACCCTGAATGTGCAAGATTCCAGATCATGACTTTCAGGACTTCAAATGGAAGTCTGGGGGTGGGCCAGTGGGGGGAGGAGGAGGAGGCAACATCAAGAGAGACAGCAGACACAGTCTGTTCCTTCTCCATTCCTTTAACGTGCAACTTCTGAAGGCTTTCATGTCTGGCTCAAGGTCACCCACTGAGTTTCACTGCTGAGCAGGGAGCTGAATCCAGGTCTTCCCAGTCTGTGTCCAATATTACCACCCTTATACCCTACTGACTCTCACAATGTGTCAAGAAGGAGATAAAAGGAAGCATAATTTATCTTTCATTTCTCAGAAGAGAATACATGGGATTTAAGTTTTCAGAGATAGATGATAGATAGATGATAGTTAGTTAGTTAGTTAGTTAGTTAGTTAGTTAGTTAGTGATAGATAGAGATAGATAGATAGATAGATAGATAGATAGATAGATAGATAGATATTCAAGTTTCTCATAAGTATTATTCAGAAGAACAAAGTCTCTGCGGCTTCCTGGTCACTCAACATCTCACTCAGGTCCTAGAAAGCCCTGGTGCTTCTCGTGTTTAATCGTATGCTATCAGAACATGACGTTTCAAGAGAAAAAGAAGAAAGCTCCACCAATTAACTGAAATGGGCAAAAGAGACGGATGATAAGATCAAACTAATGAATACGCTATGCTGTTTGTTTTTCCACAGCCATAAAAGGGTAACAAAGCTGATGCCCATCTGGAAGCAGGAAAATGAGAAAAATCAAATGGAATTAAGTAAATCTAGTTGGAGGCTCAGCGTTTCTGAATGGTCGAGAGCATCCGAAATCCAAATGTTTAGCTTACTTGGGAGTCTAACTGTTCTTAGTACAAAAACAACCACATCCTCTGGGCCATTCTCTGCTAGCTGCATACTCAAGGCTATTTTGGGACATTGTTTTCATTGCCATATTTGACCCGCTCTTTTCCGTTACATTATGTCAGGTTTCAGCCAGATAATAAGATGAAGGGGGGCTGGGGAACCAAATCAGAAGACAGTTCACTGAATGATCAGATTATTCTATCAGGAGCCCTGGCCAAAATCTGTAGATGTAAAACGCTAGATAAAGTGATTGCCTTTCTGCTAGCATTTAGCACGACTTCATTGGCAGGGGGTTGGACTCGATGGCCCTTGTGGTCTCTTCCAACTCTATGATTCTATGATTCTATGATAATGCAACTTCCCTTGTTTTGGGATTGTTTTTCATCTTGAAAGCAGGGGGAAACTGTGCAGAGATTTGTTTTTATACTTTGTTTAAGGCAGTTGAAAAAAGTTTACAGGCTTTCCTCATTTTCTGCATCACAGGAACAATGTAAGCATGCATGATAGAATGTAAATTTATTACTTGTTGAAGGACTGTAAATTAATGATCCAATAATACTAGACAGCTCTGGCAGAGTTTGGAGCACTTTAAATTAGCCTCCAATGTGGCTTTCTCTGGGAGTCCAACTTTCAATAATAGCTACTCGACACTGATTTGGGAACGTATGATTAATAATGTGAGTTTCTTATTTTTGGTACAGGCTTATTCCTATTTTTGGTACATGGTAAGCACTGAATTGGAGAGAAGGGAGATTTCCTCTGAGAGGAACTGAATGTGAACTGTAGCAGTGTGAATGACGATTGTATGAATAGGTAGTGACAAAGGAATGGAGCTAAATCTGATCCAAGAGAATAAAGCTATGCACAACAGCAATTAGGTTTAATCTTTTGTTTTAAAAAAAATCAGGAAAACCTTTGGAAAACTTCTGCATAAGAATGGGGCCACATCAGATAAGCTGGTTCATTTAAGGTATGTGACAAAGGGACACTTAATGCAATTTGCATGCTAAAACGTTGACCTTTTCCAGTTTATTTATTCAGCTGTGAGCATCAAGTGGGAAAGTGAATAAGCTCTGGAAGAATGAGTGTGTTAGCCATGTATTCAATACACATGGTCAAAACATCATAGGAGGAGGAATCCTCCTGGTTCTTGGGCAATGCATTTCTCCTGAAATGCAAGACTTGCTGCTATCTTTGTAAAAGCTCTTAAAAGGAAAACACACCTCTTTGGATGGATGGAGGTAATCCACATTGAAAGAACAACAATTTCCTTATTCTCCCCACAAACACACATAGACACACCCTTCTGGTTGACTCCATCCCATTGATTTTATCCTTTATCCTAGGCACTATTAATAAACTTAACAAATACAGAATATTACACAATAGCCTTCCTAAAAGAGATTCTTAACTTTGTGCAAGTGTCAACTCTACCCTACTTGAATTGGGTAGAATTCTGACTCTTCTGCCAGAAATAGAATTCTTCTTTATAATGAGAAAGTGCATCCAAAAATACTATTGCTCTATTAGTGGAGCTGTCATGTCATTTGGAAAAATGCATTATACATCTAGAAACTGGAAACAATTTCACTGGAACAGATACATGCATACTGACTTAATTTACCTTTTTGTTACATACGCTCTCTCTCTCTCTCTCTCTCTCTCTCTCACACACACACACACACACGCAAAGTTCCTTTTTATGCACCATACCACCTGCATTTTTACTTATGTATACAAAAATATGTTCAGCTAAAGCAGCTACTTTAGATAGAGAGCAATGAGAAGCAAAGCGATTCCCCCCCCCAAAAAAAAGTCAGCTTTGCACTTTGATGTCTAAACTTTAGCATACATCAGCTTGCTTCTGAAGGATGCAAAACATATACGGAAATCAGTCTCTTTGCTTTAAGAAGATACAATGCCCTCCTACATTAATTCCTAATGAAAATGAGAAACAAGGCTACCTATTTGGGATTTTGGCAAACTGTGCAAAGCCGATGCTTCAAACGCCAGCAAACTCTTTCGAGAGTAACAAAAGGCTGTTGCATTGCTTTTAAGTCTGTCTCAGTGCAACCCTCATGCATGACTTAGGCAGAAGTAAGTCCCACTGAGTTCAATGGGGCTTACTGCCAGGTAACTGGATATAGGATTGCAGCCTCTGTGAGGATTACCTGATTGTTCTAAAACAGGTCAGTTCACTGTTTGCTAATGATGTCTTACATCTCCCTAGGAAACCTTAATCTAGCCATTGTTAAACTCTCTGATGGATGCCAGCCTTTTTGAAACTTAAAACATTCCACAGTTTGAATCCTCTTTTTTCTATTTAGCCTTCTGTCTGATTCAAAAGAATCTGCATCGTTCTCTTCTATTCATCCTCCTGTTCTCTTCTACCTGCTACCCTCCGTATTAAAAGCATTTTGTCCACTCACCTCACTCATGATTGTTTGGAAATGACAGTTCACAGATTTTCCACTTCCTCAGAACAAGGCTACTGTTCCAAGCTCTTCACACACTGTTTCTAGCTTTTCTCTTAAAAGGGGCTGCCCAGTGGCATCATGGCTCTACTAAACCAATAAGAAGCATTCACCTGCTCAACCAGCTTTCAGCAGGCATTTGAGGACACGAGGGGCCACCTAATGGTGAGAATGGGTAAAGGCAGAGAAGTTCTACTTGGAAAAGCCATGTTTATAGAGAAAGAAAAAAGGTAAAGGTACCCCTGACTGTTAGGTCCAGTCGCAGATGACTCTGGGGTTGCGGCGCTCATCTTGCTCTATAGGCCAAGGGAGCCGGCGTTTGTCCACAGACAGCTTCCGGGTCATGTGGCCAGCATGACTAAGCTGCTTCTGGCGAACCAGAGCAGCGCATGGAAATGCCATTTACCTTCCCGCTGGAGCGGTACCTATTTATCTACTTGGACTTTGACATACTTTCGAGCTGCTAGGTGGGCAGGAGCTGGGACTGAACAACGGGAACTCACCCCGTCGTGGGGATTCGAACTGCCAACCTTCTGATCAGCAAGTCCTAGGCTCAGTGGTTTAGACCACAGCGCCACCCGTGTCAAAGTTCTACTTGGAAAAGCCATGTTTATAAAGAGAAAAAGAAAAGGTTGCCACAAAAGGCAAGGGAAAAGAGAGGGGTGGGTGAATGCGCTGCATGACGGAGCTCTTCTTCCTGATGGTGACACAAATAAAAATAAAGCAAGCCTAAAGGTCATGGCAGCGAATGAGCATCCAGGTCACCAACCAAAAACCGCTCCCCTTTTCTTAGTAGAACCTTCAATGCCTTTAACCCCTGCAGAAATCCTTCAGGTGATACTCTCCTTTCACCCCTGCACTTTACACTGAAATGACTTCCGCTGTGGCTTGTCTGCAGCTACATTACAGGGGGAGGCAGCCTTGCTGCACTGTTCTTTTTTTAAAAGAGAAGTCTGGTAAGAGTGCACACTCCAGAGCAGTAAAAAGGGGACCAGACACCTTTCAAAGCACAAAATCAACTAAAAAGATGAGATTGGTTAACATGTAAGGAACTTGCAGCCAAACACAGGGATGTGATATCTTCAGACAGCTTTCAGGGCCTACCACTGCACTGCCTGCCCTAGCCTTAAAACCCCAGCCATGTTTTTTATTTTTAAATTTATGTCTAGATTTATATATATTACCACTCATCATCAAAAGATCTCAGGGCAGCTTGCGAGATAAAAAGACAAGCTAAAAGCACAAATAAATAGTTAAACCAGAAGCAACAAAACAATAGGCACCCACAAACACCTTTAAAAGGCTGCAGAATATTAATCAGCAAAAGGTCTGGTTGAAGAGGCATGTTTTTGCCTGGCACCTAAAGATATGTAACAAAGGCGCCAGACAAACCTTCCTAGAGAGAACATTCCACAAACGGGGAGCCCCTGCAAAAAAGGCCCTGTTCCCATGTTGCCACCATCCAGACCTCTCATGGAGAAAGGTCTCAGATGATAAATGGAGAGTCCGGGTTGGATCGTGTGGGGAGAGGCAGACCTGAGAGTCTCTGGTCCTACAATACAAAGGCATAGTGCATAAAGCCCAAATTGCACGTGTTGCCTTTGTGCATTCACCTGCTCATGCCCCTTGGCAGGCATCAATGTTCCATGAATGGACACTGGGGTTGGGGCTAGTGCAGTGATGCCAGGGTGGGGCCAAGAGGGGGTCACACAAAAGAACTTACGGAGTCTTGGTCTTGCCTTTCCCCACCATGATTCAGGTGGGCTGTCTGCCTTGGGTTTCTTCCAAGTGCTGCTTGTATTGTTACTAGTTTATAAGGTTTCTTACCTGGCCTTCACCTAAGGTCCCAGGGCGGCTTACGGCTGCAGAATCTACAATAATAAAAATAAAAGAAAATCAATACAACTGCAGCACACAGAAAATGGCTCCAATGCCACATCCATGCATTTAAATCTCTATTAGACCACATGGACAGTTGTGAACAATCCCGCACACTGTACCCAGCTAAGGGTGCTGACATCACAGAGCTACAATTCCCATCACCCTTAGCAAACTACAGTTCCCAGGTCTCTCCCTGGCTGTTAAAGTGGTCAAATGTATGGTGTGGATGTGACCCATGTGGAATAGAGGCGTATAAAGAGGTGAGTCCCAGAAAACAAATAGCACAGTGACCCACCTCCAGCCCTCACAAGAGATGTGGGCAACTGCAGGAGTGAGGAGGAGTGGGCTGGGAAAACCTCCATCCCATGAACTTCCTTCCATTCCCCTAAATCTCAGGTGTCATGTCTGTCCTGAGCCCATTTCTATGCTTTCCATACTCTTCCCCTCTTCACCACTTTGCCCTCTGGTTTGCCACCCTACCCAAAATCGCTCTATAGCACTGCTACCAGAACAAGGACATTTTGCACTCCAGAGCTTCACTATCTTCCTGGCAAGGTCCTATAATGAGAAACAGATGTTTCGCTGAGAGAGCAGTTTAGAGATTCAGCATCATGGAGGTAATTGGACATGGCCACTATTGACTTGGGTCAAAGTGAAAATGATTTAATAGCTGGAGCGGATATCTCCCCCCCCCCCCCCCCGGTCACTCTGAACACTCTTTAAATTAAAACCAACCTAATTTGTGAATCTTAGCATGATGTATTGAGAGCTAAATATGTGTTCAATCTTTGAGCAATTATGAACTTTTTTAAGAATGTTATCTCATCATTGTGTATGAACAAAATTGACAAGGCTCCTCTCTCTATCAGAAGGAGTGCTTACTTTTACACACACACACATGCCATGCTCATTCTTGGCCCTCTAACTGCCCAGTTTGTGCCTGATTAGTTGCACTTCTTAGTTGCGCACTGCACTGAATGAACGCCAGTTGCTAGGAATCAGAAATGGGAGGAGCCCTGCTGCACTCAGGTCATCCTGCTCATGAGCTTCCCATCAGCACCTAGCTGGCCCCTATGAGAACAATGCTCTTATGATGTGAAAACCTGGGTAGATATGAGAATCCCACCCAAATTTAGAGTCATGTTTGGAGCTAGGGATTGAGTAGAAACTAGTTCCCTAATGCCCATTCCATCAATTGCAACAGGATAGCACTATCCTGTCATCATCATAGCTACTAGTTAAAAACAGGGGCAGATGTTTCATTGATCCAAACAAGCAAATGCCATTTGAAATCAGAGCTTACCAGCTGAGGCCCTAGCTGGGCTCATGTGTTTGAGACTGCTGTGTAGTTGTTGGCCAGCATGCAATACTTATCCAACCCCCTTTCACTGATGTTTTGCAGAAAGTGAGGAGAATGTTTTCTAGGAATTGTTAAAAAATTCAGTGGTAATGCTTTGTGTTCTTCCACCTGTACAGCCAGTTGCCCTAGTTACCAGAAACAGCCAAGGAAAGTTCTGAAATGAGCCCATAATAGCTTTGTGGGGCATTAGCTTATTATTGATAGGAAGGATAATATCTTAGGGCCTGCCGGGGCTTGAAGAGAGTGCTAGTCTTTTTTAATCCAGACTGTTTTCAATAGTATGTTGAGGTCAATTGGGTCCCTAGTTCCTACAGAGAAAAAAATAATGAGATTTGCAGGTTGACATTCTCTTGGCACACATGTATGCTTGTAACCACAGATTATCACTCTCCATAACTGTGATACCATATGCAATGAGGATAAAATACTCAACACATTTGCTAGAGCAAGGATAGGCAATGGAGTTCCTCCAGATATTGGGCTCCAGCTCCCATCAGCCCTAGCAAGCACAGTGAATGGTCAGGGGTGATGGGAATTGTACTCCAACAATAGGGGCAGTCACTCAGTCACTCTTATTCTATAGCAGGTGTGGGGAACCTTTGGCCCTCCAGATATTGCTAAACCACAACTTCCATCAGCCCCATAAAGCATTGTCAATGACAACATTTGGAAGGCCAAAAGTCCCATAGAGGATGTACTAGAGGATGTTGTTGGCATCTGTCTAACTCTAACTCAAGATAAAATAGAGTGTGCCTCTGGGGGTGAAGTCAAACCACCAGATTAGCAGCACTGAAGTGACCTCCCCGAGGCACAAGCCTGAGCAGTGTGTGTGTGGAGGTCCTGGGCTGCCCAGATGACAAGACCCTACTCTCAGCCTTGCTGATGCTGTCCAAATGAAAACACTTGGCACTGGCTTGGCTGCAGTGGTTGCTAGGAGGAGGCATACTAGGTGCCGTCCAACCATTTTGGGGACTCCAGTCCAGATTTGTGTAGGGTTTACTCCTTATCCTTTTCTTCTCCCAAAGATATTCTGCAAGGCAGTGGAGGTTTAGGATCAGAGTTTTCCTTCTCCTGGATGGACTACCTTCCCAGGTTGACAAGCCCCATCTGCCCCTCACTTCCCTCTACAGCATATGCAGAAACCGCCTTCTTGACCCTTGGACCCACTATTAGTCTCATCCACTCAATTCTCCAGCTCCTGTCTCTGAATGCAGGGGAATGCCAGGATAAGCCTTCTTAAATATTCTAGGGACTTACTTCCAAGTAAACAGGCGTAGGTTTGCACTGTTAGGGAAGAATTCAACATTGTGCTTTTACTATTGTTCCATCCATGTAAGCATTTCTACCTTCCAGACAAGAACTATCTCCCTTCTCCTCCCCCACAGGCTGTTCTGAGGGTTCTCCAGAGCCACAGAAGCCAAATTGGGGGACATGAGGGGGGGAGCTTCATTGCACTAATGGGACTCAAAACAGAGGCTTTGTTTTGCTGCAGAAATCTAACAAGTGTTGCTTTCTCCATCACTGCATCTCCTCTGTAAAAGAGAAGGGCACAATATTAAACCAACTGGACCGGATAATGTCTCAGTACCTTAGACTGTCCATGTTTACGAAGTAAGAAATTGTGTAACTCCAGTGAGGCTTATTTCCATTAAGTATTGTTACACATGCCTCAGTTTGCTGAGTTGTGAGAACTTAGAGCCACAGTGTGCACCCAAGTTCTGTTTCCTTGGAATGAGGTCTGTTGAAACTTGTGGTGTTTTTGTCATATATAATTTTATTTACATTGCTAAACTCCAAGAAATGTCCCATATTCACATATGGTTAGAATTGTGCTGTTTTTAATTATTCAGTCTTTTCTCCCTTGCTATCCCTTATCCCTGGAAGGGACTCATTTCATTTCTCACTTTTATAGTGCCTTTTTGTATTACTGTACTACTCATTGTGGTTTACCATCCAGAGAAATGTCAAAAAACACAACCAAAATCACATTTATTTCCCTACAGCAATTCAAAATTTAATTAAAAGCAAAGTAAGAAATTCAAGAGTGCGTTTCACATACTACAAGATAATTACACCCCCCTCAATTACAAGAAATTAAGAATTAGAAACAACCAAAACATCAACATCTATTTAAAAGACACAATACACAAATTACCAGATGCAAAAAGAACAACTGAGAGGTAGATCACAGCGGAATAGCCATGCCACTCAAAACCATTCGCATTCTGAGAACATGGCACCATTCATTCCATGGATACCAGGCCAAGATGATGTTGAGTTAGCATTGTAGATATTGGGGCCAGAGCATCCGTTTCCCCAGGCTCTTTCCCCAGGCACTCCACCACAGAGGTAAAAGGTAAAAGTAAAGGACCCCTGGACAGTTAAGTCCAGTCAAAGGTGGCTATGGGGTGTGGTGCTCATCTCACTTCAGGCTGAGGGAGCCGGCGTTTGTCCACAGACAGCTTTCTGGGTCATGTGATAGCATGACTAAACTGCTTTTGGCCGTGACGGGAACCAGAGTGCACAGAAACGCCATTTACCTTCCTGCCTCAGCAGTACCTATTTTATCTATTTGCACTGGTATGCTTTCAAACTGCTAGATTGGCAGTAGCTGCAACAAAGCAATGGGAGCACATTCCGTTAGGCAAATTCGAACCCTGACCTTCCGATTGGCAAGCCTAAGAGGCTCAGTGGTTTAGACCACAACGCCACCTGCCACATAGAACACCTGCATGATACCCCATATTTCTCTTCCTCCAAATCTGCCTTCAAAACCACCTAATTGTGAAGCCTTTGACATAAAACTTTAGTTAGTCATCCACTGTGCTTCCTCTCTCTTTGTCAAATTCTAGACTGTAATATTTTTCTTTTACTCTTCAAAGTCTCATTCATGTTGACAGTGCTACATAGTGATGTGTATATATATATATGATATTGATATAGATATATTTCTACAAATTAGTTAAGGAGGAGAAATATTAGTTTTAGAAGAATAACACTACTGTTAAGCAGGTTTACAAATTGCCCACAAATTTTATGTAAGACTGTAATAAAAACATATACTTCTGGATTGTTAAAGATGTTGTGCAGACTGATTAACTGTCCTGAATGACAATGTTAAATTAGACAGTCATTTAAATGTTAATTCCAACTCTCCCGTAGATATAAAGGCAATTAAATTGTACACAAGTCAGTAAGTAGTCTATAATTGGAAGTTGACAGAGTATAAATTAAAGTATTATTGGAAATGGAAAAGCGCATTAATTGAATTGATGATATGAAAACTGAGTCAAATAGTATCCTGTTTGGTTCAGGGCCAGTTTCCTTGACCATTTAAGAGAGGTGTCATGTGGTGCAGTTCTTGCTGGCCTATACCACTTCAAACGGAACTGTGAATATTAAAAACACCTGCTTATACAAAATCAGTAATACGTTAGGAAATGTCTGGAGCACACCCATCCCCCATCAGGGCACATGATTGGTAGTTTAGTTCATTATTGGCAAAGCACTTGATTACATCAAGAATCACATGCACCACTCCTGCTAAATAGGTAGCTAGGCATTTCCTAAACACACACACACAGAGAGAGAGAGAGAGAGAGAGAGAGGCCTTAGGAAATACCCTCCATGACTATAATTCTTTTAAGCAAAACTAGATACAAAGATGCATGCTGTATTTATTAAGAGAACAAGCAGCGTGCCCAAATTGCTTCTGCAAATTTAAGTTTTCCCAGGTACAATGGTTTTTTCATGATGCATGAAATCTGGACAGAAAATAAGCTAATCAAAGTGACCGCATTTTGTATCAGATTATATGTGCAGAGAGGAAATAATTGAATGGTCTGCTATTGCATTTTCCTGCCCAGTCATAAAAACTAGCTCAGTCTTAAACATAATTCTAAATTGAGGGGAGGGGAGAAAAAAATGAAAATTTCAGAGAGAGTGAGAGGGATTTGAGAAAATTAGACTCCAGGAAAAGGAGGAGGATGGGATGGGATGGGGGTTAGCATAGATATATTTTTCAAAAACAGCCTTAATTATACTGTGTATGTTGTAATTACAGGCTTTAATTTGTTCCTTGAAAGTAAGGGATTTAGCAAAGTAATTGGGCAGCCACATTTATCTGTTAATTTGCTTGAGTAAAATTTAATGATTCAGAAATAAAAATACAGTTTCAGGAGCAGAAAGGGCTTAAATGCAAACTCCACTTGGCCACTCTGCCTCTTACTTGCAAATAAGATCCACTAAATTCAATTGGGCTTACACACAGACAAACATGCATAGGAATACAGCCTCAGAAATATTTCCTATGTAAGTCTGACAATGGAATCATTTACAGTGGTACCTCGTGTTACAAATGCCTCAGGTTACAAACACTTCAGGTTACAAACTCCGCTAACCTGGAAGAGTTACCTCGAGTTGAGAACTTTGCCCCAGGATGAGAATGGAAATCGTGTGCTGGCAGTGCAGCGGCAGCAAGAGGCCCCATTAGCAAAAGCACGCCTCTAGTTAAGAACAGTTTCAGGTTAAGAACGGACCTCCGGAACGAATTAAGTTTGTAACTAGATGTACCACTGTATATATCTACCCAGAAGTTCCTCTGAATTCCATGGGGCTTAGTACTAGGTATGTGTATAGTAGCAGTGGGGAACCCCAAAAAGCAATAGGCTACATGCACGTCATACATTTAAAGCACATGACTTCCCCCAAAGAATCCTGGGAACTGTGGTTTGTTAAGGGTGCTGAGAATTGTAGCTCTGAGAGGGGTCAACTACAGTTCCCAGAATCTTTGGGGAAGTGTACTTTAAATGTATGGTCTGTACACAGCCACATTTCCTCGCAGAAAGCCTTCTGATGGGCACATGGCAGTGGTGGGCAAGGCCAGAGGCAAGAGTGGATGGAACAACAGGTATACCTCTTACCTTTCTACCTAGGCTATATTCCAGCTATACAAAAGTGAGAGCTATCTATGCATACATGCCTCTTTCCAGTCTGCATCCAGGCAAGCCAGATTCTGTATCACACTTCAAGGGCACATCTGAGCCAGGGAAATACACTCAAGAAGAGCATGGGTGGAAAGAGAGGTGTGTGACCTGAGGAGATTCCTAAGGGCCAGATAGAAACTGGTATTTTTGGAGAGTCCCGTGATTAAAAAAAGAAAAGAACTATCATATAGAATTGGGGGAAGGGGAGACTCACTCTGAAACTCAAGTCTCCAGGTTGACATAGCGATTTGCCTCTCCTGCGTGCACACACACCTTCAACCCTGACTTGGCATGAACAACAGGGCTGCAGATTCAGTATGGATCGTGTTGTGCATCCCTTGGGTTGATGGAACATGTTTGATGGCTCTTTGGATTGTGGCCACAGACCAGGGTTCGCTGCTTTGCAACGTCCTTTTGGTGTAGTAGTGCTTCCTGCAGAAAACTGCTTGTCAGGAAAAGATTCCGTGGCACTTACCCATGGCAGCTAACTTTTTAATTAAAAGGTAATGAGACATATTAATTATCAGTTAACTATTTTCAATCTCCATGCCGACAAGGGAATTAACAGCTTCAGGGAAATCCTCCGCCATTATTTCTTTAAACTCTGAAAGGCTGAAGCTTAAAAGTACACCCTTTCCCCCAGCTCTCCCTGACTGACACTAGGAAAAGTCAAGGCAGAGAATAAACTCTTTTCTCTCATATATATATATATATATATAGGGTGTTATTCTGTATTTCTAAAGCAAAGTATCCTGTAAACAGGTATAAATATGCATGCATATAAAAAAAAGCATGCATATTTTAAGGCCTTAGAAAAATATGAGCTCTCATTAGATTATATTTAAGGAGGACTAGAACCTTGTGGGAAGTGAGAGCTGGACCGTAAAGAAGGCTGATCACCAAAGAATGGATGCTTCTGAATTATGGTGCTGGAGGAGACTCTTGAGAGTCCCATGGACTGCAAGAAGATCAAACCTATCCATTCTTAAGGAAATCAGCCCTGAGTGCTCACTGGAAGGACAGATCCTGAAGCTGAGACTCCAATACTTTGGCCACCTCATGAGAAGGGAAGACTCTCTGGAAAAGACCCTGATGTTGGGGAAGATGGAAGGCACAAGGAGAAGGGGACGACAGAGGATGAGATGGTTGGACAGTGTTCTCGAAGCTACCAGCATGAGTTTGACCAAACTGCGGGAGGCCGTGGAAGACAAGAGTGCCTGGGGTGCTCTGGTCCATGGGGTCACGAAGAGTCGGACACGACTAAATGACTAAACAACAACAAGAACCTTGTGATTGCCCTCTATTGAGCACATAGTAATAGGAAAGCTGCCTTGGTCCATCTAGCTCAGTATTGTCCACATTGACTGGCAGTGGCTTCTCTGGGGTTTCAGGCAAGACTCTCTCCCAACCCAACCTGGAAATGCCATGGGTTGAGCCTAGGACCTTCTGCATACAAGGCATATACCTTGCCCCAGCGCTATGGAGCTTCTCTGTGTCAGCATGTATGGAACTAAGGAGAAGGGGCTTGAATTGGAAGATGAGAATATATTGGAAGCAAAGGATACTACTAAGATTACCCAATTAAAATCTACAGAACTACTGTCAGGGGGTCCCTCCCATTTAGTCTGGATTTTTCATGGAAAATCCAATATGTCAAAAATCTTAAATCTGGATGAAATTTAGGGGGGTGAGTGTGGTGTTGCTGGAGGTGATGCTGTGCAGAGGCTGCAATAAATTGGCATGCATGAGCTGCTCAAGCTCCACAATAAACTGCCGTGTGGAAGCACCCCAGGACTGGCAATAGATCCCTGCTGCTTTAATATTATGTGCCATCCCTGGCAAAAAGATGAGGCCAGCTCCACATTCTTCTCCATTTCCATCCCACTCAACATCTGTTGCCCTCAGTACATCGCAGCAAGGCTTCCTCTGATATAGTACCCAGGCTATGGTTCCCAGAATTACTGGCGCAGTACATGTTATATTCAGTAATGTTATATACTAACAGTTATTTCAAAGTCCGTATTAGACCTTAAGAAACAAGCAAAAAAACAAAAAAACTCCACATGACTGGGGGTGGGAGGCTGTAACAAACAAGTAAGGGCTCTCAGCTGAGAGACACCCCTTTAATAATCAACCACTTCTGTGTTCTTCCTAACTTTGAAACCAGATATTTAAGAGTAGCAGGATCTCCTGTTTTATATAGTTTGAATAGGAATGCACATTGTATGACCCAACCTTCCCCAACCTGGTGCCCCCTAGATGTTTTGGAGTACAGTTTCCATCAGGTCTAACTAGCATGCCATGCTGCCTGGGGCTGATAGGAGTTGTGGTCCAAAATATCTGGAGGGCACTGGGTTGGGGAACACTGGTGTGACTAATAACTAGGGCTATGTGTGTGCTATACATTATTATATTTGGATTTGGATCACGAATTATAACTCTGTGTTTACTCTTTGTATGCATATGTGTCTGTTTATTTCAATGGACATCTTCCAAGCGTCCAAAGGTCAGTGAAATTTAATCTCAGGCTCTCTTGAATATTTACTGTCTTGCCCCTTTATATTTAAAGTTTCAAGAGTTCAATCTTTAATGATGTTATGTAATAGTGTGTAGATGACATCACCTGATAATCAATATGAGTGTTGAGTAACATACCGTTAACTCACAGAAGACTAGCAACTTGTTTACTTCTTTGCTGCCAGAGCATCCTGCTGTGAAAAATGGGAACCACCTGTATTATTTTACTCTTTCTCGGTGTGCTTCAGAGATATAGCATAACATAGTTATGCAGAATACCACCACAGGAGTAATGTGATTCTGGGCAGTACACACATGATTTTCAACAATCCACCTGCTGCTTTTGGCAATGACTCCTTGTGCAATGGCATCTCCATTGACTTCAAAGGAGGCCACCGATCTGGGCACATATTCCTTTTTTCATGTGAATTTGTTTTTCCCCTCCTTTATATAATAGGGTGGGGGTCCCTCCACCTCCAGGAGCTATGATTCCCAAACACTGCCTATGGGAAGAGAAATGTTTCATTGCCTATTGGTGTTTTTCTTCTCCTTTACCTGGATCACTGCTGGATCCATTTCTTGGGTTTAAGTTTAAGCAGCCTGTTCAGAAGAAACATGACTCAGAGAAAAGCATGAAATTTGGACTCTTCAGGGAAATGCTCTGTCTGGGGGCCTGAAAACAGCATTTTTCATCAAAAACTATCACAAGGAAATCCAACAACATAATTAAATGACATTGTCTATAAAACGATAAAGGAGATTAAATGTAAAAATCCACAGAATAGATTTCCATGATCAAATATTTTCTATTTGGGAGGGTGTCCTTCTCTATCTTTATAAAATGCTGTTCTACTAGGCTGGAAATGCCAGTTGTAACCTAGGGGGGAGGCCTTGGTGGTTAAGGTCATGAAACTGAAAGAATGATAACCAATTTTATGACTTTAAATTATAGATTATACCAACTGACCTTTCAGTCAGCTCTTGGAACCCACATAAAATTTAACAGCTAGCAGGGGGGAATATTAGAAAACAAAGAAACTCTAGCAGCTTCCAGCCATTTGAGAAGTGTCTTTCTGAGGCAACAGGCAACATCACAAAAACAAACTGAAGTGAAAGAGCCGTTGTTCTGGGCCCAGGAAACTATGTTTCCTTCCATCAAGACGAAGACAAGTCTGCATATAATTTGCATATCCTTCATGTAATATGAAAATTTCTGTCCTCTTTTACATGTAGGGCAGAGGGCACAAAAGGAAACCAGTGGCCAACACACATAAAATGTCTGACAGGCAGCATGGGAACAGGTGAAGGTTTTCCCACAATTGTCTTTCCATACTAGAAAAGGTTTAACCTGTTGAACTGCTTTGAGATTTCCCCCCTTAAAAGTATAAAGCAGTATAGAAATTAATTTATTATTATTATTATTATTATTATTACTGCCACATAGCTGTTTAGGTACAAGCACCCCATTTTCCACCAATGCCAACCCTAGACCATGCAAACAATTCAGGTTTTGTGTATTGTAAAGCCATTTTGTAACAGTAAGCCTTTGACCTTTCAGTTTATCTTAGACTGGCAATTCTGCATTCAGTGCAAGACCAGATGTGGTGTTTCAGGTATTTCAGATGGGGTGTGTGTGTGTGTGTGTGTGAGAGAGAGAGAGAGAGAGAGAGAGAGAGACGACTAGATCCACATATACAAAATATATTTTTTTTTAAATCATATTTATTAAAGTTTCCAGAAATATAAAAATACAAAGAAAAAAAGAAAAAAAAAAAAAAAAGATATTTAAAAACCTTACTTTCATTGCCTACTCTGGGACTCCCCGACTGTGTATTCCCCTTTCCCAATTTAATTACAGCTCACTCCCAATTTGGAAGCTTTCTAATTTGTTTAACCTTAATTATCCAAAATTGAATTGTAATAAATCTACCACCGTCCCACATCATTAACAAGAAAAGAAAAAGATTTTCCCTAAGATCCACCCCAGTTCCTTCCACTGCAATTGCCTTTTTTAAACACGCCCAATCAAAATAAAATGACATACAAGGTTATAAAAAATAAAAATAAGCATAAAACTAAAAGATGGTTTACACAGCCTGATCAAATCTCCCCTTCCCCGGTTTGAATTCAGTCCATCAGTCTGTGCACATCAGCCGAAGTTCCACCATGACCAAATTTCTCCTTCAATTCCATCTAATGTTTTCTTTTTAATTCTATTAATATTATGTAACTTCAAGTGTCCAATCTAACAAAGGCCTTTGTAATTTCTTGATCTTACCACTCTCCTGTTCTTTCCATCGCAATCAGTCCCTGTTCTTCTTTTTCCTCACTTTCAGGCTTCTTGTCCTGTTCAGCTGCTTAAAACCTTCTAACTAGAAATCTGATATCTCTGCAGAGGTTTGTTATTCAGGAACAAAACTTCACGTCCAGTCCCTTCCTTTCAATAGAGTACCCTATTGCCTTTAATGTAAATACTTCTGTAGACAAAAATACCATTTCAGTTTTGCAGCTCTAAAAGGCTAACAAGTCCCAGCGAATCCTGCAGAGTATTTTTCCACTCACGAATCGTTCTGTAATATCCTTGTCCTGTGTAATGTAATAACTTGTATCCTCTAACTAAAAGTCAATTGCTGCTTATCTTCCAACAGTTTATATCCATATTGTAACAAATTGTAGCAAATTAACCATGTCCTCTAGTAGCAAAAGTCCTTTCTTTTTATATTTCCACTTTGACAGCCACTTTGACAGTCGTCAAAGTCTCCGCCTCTCTTCACCAGGCCCCACACCGCCCTGTCCCCGGGCTGAGATTTTCTTTTCACCTCTCCAGCACTCTTCTCCTCCAGCACAGCTCTTTATAATTTCCCATCGTGAAATTAATGGTTTTTATCAAGAATATAATTTCCTCGGACCTGGCTACCAGTCCTTTGAGCCAAACGCTTACAGTAGGGGGATTGACTTCAAATCGCCCCGCCGTGCCAACCAATTCTAAACCCGATTTCTACCCACGGGTTGTTGTTAATAGTCCAAATTTTCAATGGAAGAAGTCACGCTCCGTCGAATGGGTGCGGCTGCGCCGGCAGGGAAAGCAGAAGATCAGCACGCCGCCGTCTCGGCACCCGATCCGGCCTTTAAAAGGCTCCTTCACGAGTCGGAGGGCGCTAACAGTGCCGAGTCACCCATGTCCACGGACTGGTGGCCAGGGCCAGCAGCCCCCACGCCACGCGCGTAGGACCCAGGTCACTCTGCCAGCAGACTCTCCGGAGGCCCTGAGGAGTCCGCCATTCGGCGATGGCGCCAACCCGGAAGTCCCCCACATATACAAAATAGGTCAGTGTCTATATGTTTCTTTGCACAAGTACCAACGAAAGAAGAGTGGAAGATGAAAATGATGGACTTTGCGGAACTGGTGAAGCTGACAGGAAAAATCCAGAACCAGCATGATCAAGTATTCCAAAAAGACTGGACTAAATTTATATGATATTTGAAAGAGCATTGTAAGCAATTAACAGCACTAGTAGGGTTGTCTGAAGACTTGTAATAAGAAACTTTCTTCCTTTTTATATTTATTTAACTTTTGAGGAACTTTGTAATGAATTTAATTAGAACTGGAAAACGTATAAAATACTATGATATAAAGGTTAATTTTGAAAACCATGAGGCAGGAGGGAAGGAAGTCAATAGGCTCTAAAGAGCCAGAGAGGTAAAGTGGATAATAATGATGTGATTATATATTGTCAAATGGAATGTGTGTGTGTGTGTGTGTGTGTGTGTGTGTATATGCTTCTTGACACTCTCAAAGATCTCTAAAAGATTCATGAGACAGGACTTACCCTTGGTGACGCCTTGCTGCTTCTGTTGCTTGTCTTTGTCCATTTCAGTGAGATACTAACGGTCACTTTGACCAAACTCTGTAAGGCTCACATCAGTGAGAAAAAGAGTGGCCACACACAACTGCTTCTGCTCCCTCTATGTGGGAGAAGTCATGTTGCCCCCTGCTGCTGCCACCTTCTTCAACAAGAGACTGATCCATTGTGTTGCCATACTGATGCTGCCCCCCTGAAGTAGAGAGTAGACCATTGTGACCTCATGTTGATGCTGCCCATTGAAAGGATGCCGGCCATTTCCCACAGCTTTTATCAAGCTACTATAGGTCTTTCCTCATTCAGCTTATTTGGCAAGATCAAATTCAGCGCAGGTGTGGTATTTCAGATGGCAGGGATAGGGTGGAAGATTTAAGATTAACAGTAGCCAAGGTTCAGTTTGCCATGCTTGGATAAATTCAAAAAGCAAACGTAGCATTTTAAGAGCATATGTTGTGGTGGTTATTGATTTGTACCTCATAATATCTACAGTAGTGCTATCAGCTCGGGTCAAACAGCCACCCTTTTCTCTTTTGGGGGTAGAGGGTTGGCAAAATGGGCTTGAGCCTTTAATATGACTATTCTCATATCAAGTGTTTCTACCAACAAGAACATCCCCATCCCTCAAATCCCCTCTAGGTGGGAAAGCTGTTAATCACCACTTCTCCCACATTGCAGCTACAGTCAATGTGCCATCTCTCCCTCAAGAGCATTCTGCACTGCCACCACCCCCCTTAAAAAAAAACCTCAAACACATCAACAGCACTGGACTGCGTCACAAGTCTTGTCATTCTGATTCAAAAGTGCCTATATCTATATAGGCCCACACACAGCCCTCAAAATCTGAAAATTGCACCTCTGCTTAAGAAGCCTGAGATTTGTTGATGTGATAACAGCTTGTGAACATCTTCATCAGAAATATGTTTTTGATCCTTTCATATAAATAAATATTGTTAGCATACATCTGTCTTGAGAGACAATGGAGTGCACCTCTGGGGTGAAGTCAAACTGCTGTGCTAGCAGCACTAAAGTGACCTCCCCAGGGTGCAAGGCTAGGCAGTGTGCATAGAGGTCCTGGGCAGCTGTGCTATTAATTCCCGTTATTTTTGCCAGGGCTCCTAAAGATCATTCATAGGCAGGTTTTCTTTCTTTGTTTTTTCATTTATAGTCCACCCTTTCTCCAAGGAACTCAAGGTGGCATACATGATTCTCCCCCTTCCCATTTTATCCTCACCACTCTGCTTGTGAAGGAGGGTAGGAGACTGTGAGTGGCCCAAGGTCACCCAATGAGCTTCAGTGCTGGGTGGGGATTTGAACCCTGGTCTCCCAACACTCTAGCTACACTTATGAGAAAGCCGCTAAGAGCAGGAAAAGGTTAAGTGGGCAAGTCATGAGCTGTCCTACTCTTTCAGCTGCTGTTATTGTAGCTACACTATAATAAAAGAACTGGTGTCAAGCAAGAGGTGAAAGTATGTAGGGTTTGTTAAGCAATCCTATTAAGCTGTTGAGTTAGCTAATAACAAACAGATGGACATCATTGTAATGCAACACTGATAACTGTAGCCCATTGGGTTTTCGGTTTCTGTTGCAGAACGTCTCTTTAATATCAGAAGCAAATTGAGATCCTTAATGCCACCCTTCTCTGGTAAAGGAATCACTCTAGATAGACCCTTAAGGGGCATAAAACCTATTAACTATAAATTTGCTGGCCACATAATATGGCAAGATTGGTGTTGGCCCTATCAGGGTTCTTTGAAAGGTCTTCATTAATTATTTCTGATTCAGTTAATTGTGGTGGGTAATTGAAGAGCATGTGTTACACAGGGCAAAAGTTGTTGGCAGGTTGACAAAGAAGGGCAAGTGGCATAGATTTCATTACAGATATCTATTATTTCTACATCGTCCTGCAATTCCACATAGTCCCCCTAGGAATTTCCCTGAGTCCTTTCTATCCAGTGTTGAGATATGGAAATGAGATGATCACAAGAGGGTTTGCAGCCTGGAACTGCAGCTATATAGTAGGATGCTCTGGAGAGTGGTAAACCTAAACCATGGACAAATCTGTCAATTTTTGTTTCTCTCAGTTACTCATTTTCCCAGTCTTAAGCTCAATTCTCCACATTTCCACTCCAGCTTGCAATTTTTTTAAAAGTCCTCATGAAAATACATCAGCATTTCCACGCAAATGTCTACTAATATATACATATCTGTATGTAATTTTGCCTAATTATACACATTTGTGAAAAGCATATTCTTTCTAATAAACTTTTTTGGGTTATTTTTGCTTATATTTAACTTTTGATGCACACTTTCCCATTGTATATGCATTTTTGTAAACATTACCTTACTGGCAAACCACCTTGCAAAAAACTGGAGAAGTGCAGAATTTGAAAGTTGGCAGTGTTTTGGTTCGCAAATAAGGTAGGTTTGCCCTTAAAAGAGAATTTAATCAAATTTCTCACCCATCCCAATATAGCCCTGTGATCACACTTTGTTGTTCCACCACCACTGCCCAGGCTTTGAGCCTTGTTCCCTTGGTGGTTCCCCAGCTGGTTCCTCTCACCATTCCTCTGCTCCCAGCCAGTCCATGACATGGACCTCTTCAATCCTCTTTCCTTTTCTGCTGATTTAAAAGATAACTGATTCAAGAATTTGGTCAAGTGGCAGAATTTAAATTGAATAAGTCTAAAACCAAGGTTTTAGAGAAAAATTTAACACCGTTTGAAAGAGAGAGGTTTCAGAATGAGACAGGTTTAACAGTGGTTAAGAAAGTTAAATACCTGGGGATTAACATGACAGCAAAAAATGGGAATTTATTTAAAGATAATTATGAAAAATGTTGGTCTGAAGTGAAAAAGACTTAGAAATTTGGTCAAATTTGAAGCTTTCACTGCTAGGCCGTATTGCTGCGATAAAAATGAATGTATTGCCTAGAATGTTGTTTTTGTTTCAAACTTTGCAGATTGTTGACAAAATGGATTGTTTCAAGAGGTGGCAGAAAGATATTTCTAAATTTGTCTGGCAGGGCAAGAAGCCCAGAATAAAATTTAAAATTCTAACGGATGCAAAGGAAAGAGGCGGATTTGCCCTGCCAGACCTCAAACTTTACTATGAATCAGCAGCCTTTTGCTGGTTGAAAGAATGGCTACTTCTTGAAAACACTGACATTTTGGACTTGGAAGGTTTTAACAATGTATTTGGATGGCATGCATATTTATGGTATGATAAGGTCAAAGCACATAAAGCATTTAGAAACCACATTGTCAGGAAAGCGCTATTTAATGTTTGGATAAGATATAAGGACTTGTTAGAAAACAAAACCCCAAGGTGGCTGTCACCAATGGAAGCGAAAGCCTTGAGAAAGGTCAATATGGAGGTCAAATGGCCGAAATATTGGGAAATTTTGGAACAAGACGGAGATAGACTGAAATTGCAGAGTTTTGAAAAATTAAAAAACAAAGTGCGAGACTGGCTTCATTATTTTCAGATAATGGAGGCATTTAAATTGGACAAGAAAATTGGCTTCCAGGTGGAAAGATCAAAATTAGAAACAGAATTGTTAGAACCCAAAACTAAGAATTTGTCAAGAATGTATAACTTGCTGCTGAAATGGAATACTCAGGATGAAACGGTAAAATCGGCTATGATTAAATGGGCACAGGACGTTGGACATAACATTATGTTTGCTGACTGGGAACAGTTGTGGACCACAGGTATGAAATTTACAGCATGTAATGCCTTAAGAGAGAATATTATGAAAATGATATACAGGTGGTACATAACCCCAGTCAAACTTGCAAAAATCTATCATTTGCCCGATAACAAATGTTGGAAATGTAAAGAAATTGAAGGTACATTTTTTCACCTCTGGTGGACGTGCCCAAGGATTAAAGCTTTCTGGGAGATGATTTCTAATGAAATGAAAAGGGTATTTAAATATACCTTCCCTAAGAAACCAGAGGCCTTTCTCCTGGGCATAGTCAGCCAAATGGTGTTAAAAAAGGATAGAACTTTCTTTATGTATGCAACAACAGCAGCAAGAATACTCATCGCAAAGTATTGGAAGACACAAGAACTTCCCACGCTGGAGGAATGGCAGATGAAACTGATGGACTATATGGAACTGGCGGAAATGACTGGTAGAATCCGTGACCAGGGAGAAGAGTTGGTGGAGGAAGATTGGAAGAAATTCAAAGATTATCTTCAGAAACACTGCAAAATTAAAGAATGTTAGAGTGATGTTGGATCGAAAATAAGTGGTTTCCAGCTGTACAGGTTAAAGTTATTGATAGACTAAGATTAAAGATTAGGATTATAATGTTATATTACATTAAGATTAAAGATTAGGATTAAAGAAGTTCAAGTGTTATATATTATATTAAGATTAAAGATTGGGATTAAAAAAGTGGAAAAGAAATTGCTGGACAAACAATTTGGACTGGAATACAAAAGAGGGAGGTATGAGGAAGTCCAGAAAATAAGTAAATTCAAAAACGAAAATGGAAAAGTGATATTGTTTTTAAGTGTTCTGGGTTTTTTTGTTTCTTTTGTATTTTGTTTTCTGTGTTTTCTTTTTCTTTTTGGATTATGTATTGTGTATTTTTGTATTTCTACTTCTATGTTTTTTTTGTTTAACTTCCTTATTGAAATCATAATAAAAATCTTTAAAATAAATAAATAAAAGATAACTGATGTGTAGTCATGCAGTGGTCCTTACGGCAGAGTGGGCCTAGCACAACAAGGGATCATGTTCTCCATCTGAACTGGAGAACTACCTGAAGGTACCTTAAGGACAAACACTCTTGGCTAGTGGAGCTGCAGATCAATCTCTGGAACTCAAACTAATTTAATATTTCCTGGAGTCATAGAAATTCTTTTGGATATGAGCAACCGTGGCAGAAACAAGAGAGATGCAACTGGATAATTATTTTATTTTTATTTTTTTTAATGTTGCTGAAAGCCTAATAGTTGGAAAATGTCCTGAGAAGAGATTTTGTTAAAAAATTAATTTCCTCATGCCTGAAAGAATCTGTTTGGCAATTCATCACAATCCGCTGTGTTGGGTGCAGACTTTAGTGTGATTACTAATAAAAACCCTGGCCCAAAGCCCACTGAAGTAAACAGAAAGAACTCCAGATATTTTGAATTGCTTTGAAGGCCAAGAG